TAAATAAGACGGCAAACGGCGCCGTATTCGTTGCCGGCCGCCGGAAATATTTAAGAAAGAGAATGGCAACAAACATGAAAGTAATGGTTTGGATGGACTCATGAAAAAAACATAATGGAGGAAGCTAGTCAACGTCTTGTAACATGCCATGTGATTGCCAGCTCCATACACAAATACCGACACGAATTATCATGCTACAGTTACTATTTATAATATCATTATGGAATTTTATAGTTTTTAACTTTTACTATTAATGCACGTTAATGGGTGATGAGTGATGACAAATCCCCATGTATATAATTGGAACAAACCACTAGTTAATCGTCAATGACAGTGCGAGTGGCAGCAATATATTCTCTGACGATTGGCTTAGTGATTCGACAACTTATTATCAATACTAAAATTATACAGCAGGAGTAATATTTTTTTTTTTTTTTTTTGGTGCAATTTGATTGATCTAATTATTTAGCATATAAAGTATATATGTTTTGTTTGGTGCATTTTGATTCATTTAATTATTTAGTATTTCAAGATATTCTTATCATGTTTTAGGTTTGATCGGATTAGAGACATCTCTACTTCTCTGACTTGGGTTTGATAAAAGATTAAAAACAAATACTCATGAAAGGATCTAGATATAAAGTTTGTGTAAACTGATATATTGAATTAGTGCCTTATATGTTTTGTTTAGTTGCAAGGACCAAAATTTAATTTCACTATAAAACCAAGAGGCTAATTTAAAGAATACTTTGCTATGGCCTATGTGCATAAAACAAAAATGCAAATTTCATTTTTTGTTTGTTTTGTTAAAGCTTTTTTCATTTGTAAATTCCCTATATGACAATGGTATGTCAATATTAGTTCACTTTCAGGGCTAGACCTTCAATTATATGGACCAAGCTTATCCACTAAAACAGTACTGAAAGTCCATATTTTGTGTACTAATATAACGATTTTAGTTTATAAAAAAATTGTTTTATGACATTATATATTTATATTACGTTTGAATCAGATTAAATGACGACAACATATTTTAACTTTTATGTATGCCAATACCTAATACAATATGTATGATGTATGGACCATTTTTGATATGTAACTTCAATTCGACTAATTACAATTTATTTTGGTATCTGATTTTTTCCTGTATAATAATAAGGGATAAGCACATTTAAGAAATGTTGTCGACTTCAACAACTGGCATTCAAACTCAAATTGTCTAGAAGCATCCATCATTGTCTTTAAAAGCTAAACAATATCCCATCACATATATTTTTCTTCTGGTGCAATTTCATCACATCTATAATGGATTTATGGGAAAAAAAAAATTGATAGTTGAATTGTTATCGGGTCTTAGTATCAAATTGTGTCCTACATTTTTAGGGTCCCCCGACCAACACAATAAATATTTTGGAATTGTATTTTTTAATGAGACTAAGACAAGTAAGAGATAAGTATAGCTAATATTTTATTAGTGTGGGTCACTTACTGAAAATAGCATAATCTTCTTAACTTTATGATTACAACTTCAGAAGTATAAATAAATCTATAAGGTTGCTACTTCTGCAAAGAATAATTAAACACACGAAAACGTAATCCCTTACATAAATATATCCACCAAATTTATACCCACACACTTGACAAATACATATTACACATGACAATATAGTAATCCAAAACTACCTTGAATTTAATTTCAGTTCACCAGCTTTGATTACTAAAAAATGTTTGAATATGTAAATATAGTTTCTTGAATAGTCTCCTTCGCATGACCACAAACTATAACTACTAGCATCATTTTCTCATACATTTCAATGTGGGGCAATATAGCCAACCGTGTTTTTTATTATTCCAAATGTTGACATATTATATCATGATATAAAATGTCTCATGCAAAAATCCATGATCGCAGAACGTCCCATATAACAAAAACATAAGTGAAGAGATCATGATAAAGTATTTCACACGGATTCTGCATGTTCTTTACCCTTTTTTCACATGGCTCACCCATCTAAAAACTCACTATCCAATTACATATTTACCACTTTCTAAGTCCAAATGTGTAGGTGTCTATTTCATTTTGATAAGCAGTTAGCTAGATATCCATATCTCATTATGTTATACGTAGTATCTAGCTATATAGGTTCATCAATCATCACACACACCGTCCAACATGAGTGCCGAAGAGAAATACACATTTATTTGAATGTAAATTCATTGAAACATCCACGAGAAAAAACAAGAAAACGATCAACATCACTTAGTATCCAAACATTTATTATGTGATGCGTACTAGCTCATAGTTCACCATCAAGCATTTCGTTGCACGTTTGATCATAATAATAGAATGTATAATTTTATCTTTCGATCATATATGATTTCTTGCAACAGTTAACTTCATATCACATTAGCCAAGAGCCCAAGAGTAAACAAAATGGAATGTTTCTCGTGAGATTGTGTAACTCTTATGTTTTTTTTTTGTCTACAACTCATACACTCATTTACTCATACATGCACATTCAACCCCAAATTATGATAAATGTGTCACTAGTACAAAGTACAAAACAATAAGATTAGAAATCATTATGATGAGTTTTGATAGTTGTAAAATTTTGAGACAGTTTTGTAACTCCAAGGTTGAGTTGCATAAAGGGTATTTTAGTACATTTTGATATCCAACGAAGAAGGCAAGGAATCTGATTTATTGAGTTTGTGTTAGTTGGCCTTGGAGTGGCTTAATCGTGGCTATGGAGCTTCCACTCTGCTTCTTCTTCTTCCTAATAAATCATCCTCCAAAACAATTGTTTTTTTCTTCTTTTTGCTAAAACCTCCAAAACAAAGCAATAAATACACGACCTAACTAATGGTATTAAGTTATTAACCGACTTAATATCAAAACATTTTCACACATTTTAGGTTTTCAGTGATTAAATTACACATAGAGACCAAAAACAAAAGAAATTAATTGTTTATAGAGACAAATTAAATAGAGTTTATACTTCAAACACAAATCCACTAAAACCCAACTAATAAGGGTAATGCAAAAAAAGGGAAACAGAAAATTAAATGTTATTGAGTGATGGGTAGTTAAGGAACTTATGGTGTTAGGCTGTCCAAAAAGAGAAGCAGTTAAAGAGTCTTCGAGTACAATGTCTTAAACAAGAAAATGTCAGTCCCATTATAACCTCTCAAAACCAAACACACACACACAAACACATTACAATCTCTTCTTCTCTGACAATACAATGGCGGTTTGAGGAAAGCTTTTTCTTCCGAAGACATAAATGGGGAAGACAAGCAAGTGGATTCGGAATTTCTTAACCGGAAAGAAAGAGAGATCCAAAGAGAAGATAACTCAGAGCGAGTGTGGATTCACTTCGACGATTCCAGGCACTCCTAAAGAAAAACGTCGATGGAGTTTTAGACGTTCTTCTGCCACTGGACCACCACCAGCTTGTGCTTTTATTCCCAAAGATTCATCTCAACCGCCACCGCCTCAACCGCCACAACCGTTCGTGGTCGCAATCGCGGTTATTGAAGATGAGCAAACCAAGAACGCCTCAGCCTTAGACTCAGAGTTTGCAGTGGATGTTGAAGAAGCTGCAGCAGTGAAGATTCAGGCTTGCTTTCGTTCTCATTTGGTAAAAACTGAAAAACAAAACTCTGTTTCTTGCTTCAAATTTAGTTCAAAAGAATCAATTTTTATAATTTCTTTGGACAGGCGAGGAAAGCATTAAGAGCTTTAAGAGGATTAGTGAAATTACAAGCACTTGTAAGAGGTCACTTGGTGAGGAAACAAGCAACGGCAACGCTTAGATGTATGCAAGCATTGATTACACTTCAAGCCAAAGCTCGAGAACAGAGGATTCGTATGATTGGAGGAGATTCAACAACAACAACAACCAAACCCACAAATCCAAGAACGTCGATTCACAAATCAAGAATCAATAACATTTACTACGTAATGGATCTAACCCAGATCTCAAAATCCAATCTTGACAAGACCCAGATCTCAAAGTTTCTAACTTTGAAACCACCTCTCTGTTTCTTGTTTTTTTCTTGCAGGAGAATGAAGAAAACATCAAGATTGTGGAAATGGACAGTCAATCTAAAATCTACTCTCCGGCTCCTTCTGCTATAACAGAGATGAGTCCTCGAGCTTACAGTAGCCATTTCGAGGACTGTAACTCTTTCAACACAGCGCAAAGTAGTCCTCAGTGTTTCAGATTCAAAGAGTATTGCAATGGAGGAGATTCTTTGTCTTCTTATGATTACCCTCTCTTCCCTAATTACATGGCTAATACTCAGTCTTCTAAAGCCAAAGCTAGGTCTCAGAGTGCGCCGAAGCAGAGACCTCCTGAGATCTATGAGAAGCAGACGAGTGGGAGGAGAAGATCTTCCATGGAAGCACCGAGGAATGGTGTACCAAGAGCTGTACGGATGCAGAGATCTTCATCTCAGTTAGGCAAGGAAAGTCAACATCAACATCATCATCAACAACATCATCAGTACTATCCTTGGATGGCGATTAAGCTCGATAGATCTAACATTTCGCTTATGGAGAGTGAATCCGGATCTACTAGTACGGTTATGACCAATACAAACTACGGTAGACATGTTGATGTGAGTCCGGAAAGATTGCTTGTTTCCCAAGAAAAGTTGTGTTGAGATTGGAGCTGATATTTATTTTATTTTATCTTGTTTTTGATCATGTGTTGTTGTTGTTGCATGTTCAGGGGAACAGCATTTACTGAAAAAGTGTGGTTTAGAAGTTCTAAAGTGAATTGAGAGATTGCTTGAAAAGTTAGACAAGCCTAGCAAACCAAAGAGGGATCTGGTCTATAGGAGTTCTTTAAGATGGTGAAGATTCAAGAAATAACAAATCCCTATGTAAAGCTGAAATGTAGTAGAAGGAGACATTTTTGTCTTAACTCTTGATTCTTCTCTTTCGTCTTTATCACTTGCATTAACATTTTATAATATGTTTGGATTATTTTGATACGTGGTTGTTTGTCCAATCCATGTTCCTATGTTCATCTCCTAGTGCGGCGCTGAAACCAGAGCCAGTACCTATGGAATTGTATATTCAACTAAATTATAATACAATAATAATACATAGGCTTTTAATCGAATTCACTAGGCAACCATACTAGATCACTTTGCAAAAGATAAACCGAAACCAAGTATCGGTTCCATATTCAAAACCGAAATGTTTACTTTAGTTGTTGAAGAACTAAAGGAATCATCCAAAATCACAAAAACCATAAGCCATCCGTATATTAGCCTATAAACTTTGCTTTTATGCAAGTTATCTTCTCTCACGGCCATGGTTTACTTGGCTTACTATATGGTGGAACACAAATTTGAATAAGAAAAAAAGCGAAGAACCTTTATGATCTTGAACCATGTGTCATACTCATATACGATGAACCTGATTAATTGTTATGAATTGATTTAAGAGATTGTGAATCTTGGTTTTTGGTAATCCTTCTTATTTTCGGGTTTGATCATGAATTAAGAAGGAAAGTATTCTTTTGGATGGAGGTGTTGGGGAGGTTGAAAAATCAAAGGAGTCATCCAGAGTAAAGAACAGAGAAGGTAAGAATAATTTTTGTGATTAGTGATTACTTGCTATAAACCATATTTTTAATGGACATGTGTAAATATTCATGTCTAGAAAGAGAACTAATTATTCTCCAGAATTTCAGTTTGGGCCGGATAAATACAAAATTTACAAGTATGATGAAATGGTAATATATAGACTAAGAGAATGATTTCAAAAAGAATACATTAGCAAAATATAATGATTTTGTCATTTTATTATGTTTTTCTTATAATTTACATATGTTTTGCTTAAAACTTACTTATGTTTTGCTTAAAATTTATTTATGTTATGCTTAATTTACTTATGTTATGCACCTGAACGTATCATAGTTATACACTATATGTTCTTCTTCCATACGTTTGTTTGTCATATGTTTTTGTATATTTGTGATTTTTTTTTCTGTAACAGGCCTCGGATGGAGATGACGTGGAGTGCGTTGACAGAATGATGCAACCAGCATTTTACAGTAAATTATTAAAAAACCACATATTTCAGGTTTGCTTTATTATTTATGAATGTTGTTTATATGTTCATTTTTTGCTTTGAAAATCTGTTAACTTAAATTTCCATGTGAATGTTATTTTAAAGAAAATAATAATATTTTTGTTTTTTGGACACTAATTAGCACAACCTTAATAATCTGAAACTATTCATGATTCACTCTTTGTATAGTAAAACAAATCATGCATTTCAAAATTAGAGGGAATATATCAAAATTTGAATAGAAACAATGGATTGCATCGCGCATATCGTTTATCTCCAGATGTGGAATGGCTCTAGTACTTGGCAAGCTCAGATGCTTACCAACTCAAGCGTATGGAGAACTACACCAGACTCACACTAAGCTTTAACGGTACTCTCCAACTCTTTACTTAGAACAATATTTCTCGTATGTGGAACATTTTCTGGTATAGTCCTAAGGAGAAATGCGACATATGCAATATATGCGGAAGAAATGGTATTTGTGACGCATTGACGTCACAGTGCCATTGCTTGGAAGGATTCAAACATATAAACAACTCCAAGAAAATGCCTACAATCATTGGAGCTCATGAAGAAAATCCGGGATGTTTGAGGAAATCAACCATGATGTGTGCCAGTTGTTAAATATTGTAAACTCTTTAAATAGCAAGTACGTATGTCCAACTTTTCTACATGTCCTGGAGATTGATCTAGATTTTAGCTCAGGATTTCCGGTCATGAAACGTCTATCCCATCATTTCTTTTGGTTTAAGATTTGATATGTTTAATGAAACATTGGAATCAAATTAAAACTACAATACATTTAGATTGTTTTTGATTTTGGTCTAGTTCATAGTATTTATTTCTATTTCAGTACAATTGCTGCCTTGTTGGATTGGTTTGGTTTGGTCAGACCGAAATTTAGTTGCATGGTCATGATGGGTATGGCCCAGTACGAGTGATCGACCCATGTAAATCTCTATATCTGAAAGCCCACGTAAATCGTTTTTCTTGTTTAACTAAGTACATCATCAATTGAGAAAGGTATGAAGAACTCTTAACCACAAAAGTAGAAGTGGTCGTCTTTTTTTTTTTACTTGTATCCATTACAATCACAGAAGGGTGACATTTGCGTTGCGTATATGAAAACACACGTTTGTTATTGGGGACTTATCGCCTTAAATTCTGGTTAGAAATAATTGAATTATATCGTACACAACTTCTTTTCATAAAAAAGTCATGTTTAATCCATCACCTTAATATTATGTATCGCATTAGTTTCACCTAGCAAAATAATAGAATGTTACACATTATTTATATATTCATGGTTTGATGAAAAAGTTGTTAGAGTCCCACTCATTAACAATTGATTTATAAGTTGGAATCTCATAATTCTTGACAAAAGTCATACCAAAATAAAGATAGAAAAACCAAGTTTGGTTAAGTATGATCTAATGTTGTTTATAAAATTAACCGGGATGTGAAATGGACATTAATGCCACCCTTTTAACAACGACATTTCTCCACACCTAAAACATTGACAATTCACCGACTGTGGCAGTATCGAAATAATAAAGGACCCTACACTTTATCTTACATATATACAAATTGGTTGCACTTTGTCAATGAAAAGATATACTACATGCCCTACAAAATATTTGGCTCTAACAAGTAACAATAAAAGAAAAATAATACCTACAAATATTTGGAGAATGTAATGGTAATTACCGTTATTATTAGACGATGGTTATAGCTTAGCATTAAATACGATTTTATATAAATTATCTTATTTTTGTTGCTAAAGTCCCTTTTTTTTTGTTCAAACACTTAATTCCATTAATTAAGCTTGAGTGTTACATAATTTAGAGGGAATGAACCATTCTCTTTGAAAACTACCATAATAAGTAAAAACATTAAAGCATAAGATAGATAAATCTTCATATGACAGCAGATTATAAGCAAAGCTTAAATGCGTCGGAAGAGAAATCACGGCCAAGCCGGATTGATGTAGTCTAGACACAATTGAATGTGACTTTGACGTTGAAAACCAACTTCTACCTCCGGAATACGACGAAGCGAAACCAGTTGCACCTTTAAATCCACGACAGACCTTTTCTTCTTTATCATTTTTTGGCTTTTGCTGAGCTATACAGGATAGTTGAGTTGCGATTGTTAGCTTCGTTTAGTGAGCAAAAAGACAGGTTACAAAATTGTTCTCACATATAACTCTTTTTGGAGACATCCCACCCATATTATGTCTTGTCTATTCTTTCTTCTTTCTTCAAAATTGTTCTATTTCTTTTTCCTTTTTTTCGGGTGTGATCTTGATGACCCCCTTGATTATCCTCTTTTTAGGTTTTGAACGTTCACTTATTGATGTTTGTTGGTGGAAATGAGACTTGCGTGCAAAAGAAAAAGGACAGAAACTTATAAACGTTTTTTTTGGGGATCAATATTACAATCGTAATCTGACAAGCATTTCTATCAAAACTAATCTTATAATCAAATGATATTTCCAAATACTATATGATTAATTATTTACATTTGTGTTTATGTATTCCCTAATTATTATTTGTACGCACCGATTATGATGATGCTGTACAAGTTGAAAAAAAAAACTGACGCTATATATTGCTGTATATATTTCTTGCATGAATCTAAATCAAGAACTTTCAGACGCACCGATTTATATACACGAATCACAAATTCACATAATCATATAGTTACCAAATTTCTGTAAAAGTTACAGTTTAAAACTTGTATTTAAATTTGTATCTACTTAAAATTCTCAATAATCTGGATTACAGCTACTGGTCGATGAACTACTCGCTTTTTATAATTAGTTATCAGTCAGCACCTAAATAGAGCAAAACATAGTTGTTAGTTTAGCATCATTAGTCGATGATTTTTTTTCTCTTTCATTCTTTGCAACAAGTTTTTTCTTTTAATTTGTTTTTTTTTCCGGGATAAAATCCCTAATATAATTAACTAAAAGGAAACATGCAGTCTTTGCTTAGTCTTTCGCTAATACATGTGATTAATTAAGCACCCAAAAAGCTAAAACACATGAGTACAGGAGCAATAAACTTCCTCAAAATGTCTCTTTTAATAAATGAGAAGTTGAAATAATCATTCTTTGAAAAAGTAGTTATATAGATAAGAGCATATGCCAACTTAATTATAATAATTAATAAACATGCTCAACTTTTACATTATACATGAGAATGTGTGACGCACACTAGATACTGAATACATGCCATAATTTAGTGTTAAGTTGTTAACTAGAGCGGTGTGAGTGTGAGACTTGCACTAAATACTGAAATTCCGGTATACTAAAATCATTTTAGACTAATTAACGTATACCTAATACGTTATTAACTAGCTAGTTGAACTTACTGTATTTGGTGTGGTCACATTTGTCTTATGTTGAATATTATATATGGGAATATGGGATATGAGAAGATATGCCACAATGCGTATGTGCCGACAAATAATTCCTATTAGTTTTGGCTAAACTCTAATCCTATTGGTTTGTTTCGTCGGCACACTTGTCCTATATGCTATGATAATTACAAATTTTCACTCAAGGAAACAAATCATGTCTACTTATCTCTAACAGACACTGAACCAAAAATTAGATATCCTCACATAACTATGATGAGATGACAATAACATCCCAATAATTTTCCATTTTAAAAAATAGAGAATCGATCCGATGAAAGAGGACATTTTCAAGCGTTGTCACTTAACTAGTATACTTCCTGCTATTGAAATGGAAGTTACTAATTAACTTCTTTTTGTAAAGAAAATTAAGATAAAAACTTCTTGGTGGCTATCCAAAGAAAACCACTTTTTTGTGATATAAGTTTGAGTTATTGACTAGCTAGTTGTTTAAGAGGAGAATCATTTTGTTAGAAAACAAAGAACAAATAGTTCCAGTAATAGACCTAGTAACTAACAACTTGAGATAATTCTTTAGACTAATAGAAAAATAAACAGAGGAATTTTTGAAAGATACGAAAATTTCCATAATTTCGGTAAGTACACCATATTATGAAAAAAAAATAAACGTAATTTCAGGTTCTGGTCACATAAACAAATATTTTAATACAAAATGACACCTGGAATCCGAGAGATGACATAAAAGGTGCTGTTGACAAAAAAAAGAGTGCCCAGAAAGAAAAGAATTATAAAATCGAATATTTACTGTCTGCGCCAATCATACTAATCATTCTCTTGTCTTGCAGTGCAGAAGAGAGAGAGAAAGAGAATGTTGTGTGTCTCTCCATTGATGGCTGAAAGTGAGATCATTTTTGCAGCTGGGTTTTAGTGTAAAGCATACACTTTGTACATATATTTCTTCAAGGTAAGTTCCTTTGATCCTTTGCTCAGATAATCGTTTTTCAATTCCAAATTCTCATCTTTCACTCACTGTTGCTTACGCCCATCTCGAGTTCCAGAGGAAAAAACCATTCTTTTGAACTTTATGCTGTTACCCATTTCATATTTCTGGTAACTTCATATGGAATCCTCGAAATATTTAATATTTTTCATATGAAATTACGAGACAGATTAGTTTTATTCCCAAAGCTTGATAAAGAGTTTTCCTTTGCTGTCTCTATTATTTGTGCTTCTTCTTTTGTTATTGAAAGTCTGCAGTTTCCAATTTCTACCAACTCAATTTTATTGAATTATGCTCTGTTCCTAATTCTTAATTGTTCTTGGTAAATGATTCACTGTGATTAACTGATTTCTTGGTTTATATATGTATGCATCCCAATCTGATATTGCAATAATTATATGGCAGAGTCAACTATGCAATCGTTAGGTAGACATCTATATAGTATAAAAATTTCTCTCCCAGACACGAAATTCGAGAGAAGTCTTTAACCAACCTCAAGTCACTTTCGACCCCCTTTTATCCAACAGAAATTTCCTAAAATGGTGTGTTTTTTCAAAACGTCAACGACTCTGATTTAGAGAGCCCGGGTTCCACCCCCGACTCGGAGTCGGAGGGTCCTCGACATTGCCGGTAAGCAGCGCTCCTCCTCTCAAAATCCTAGTTTCAACATCTTACGTCAACTGTGAATCTACAAACAACAAGGGAACAACCACCAAAGCTGTTTCAACCGAACATTCTTCCTCAAACGAAACAACACAAAGAGATGAATGCAAGAATACCTTACGCCGACAAGAGAAAAGGGATTGCATACCAGACCGACTCCAACCAACGGAAGCGTATCAGAGCTCCGGAACTGGACACCTCGGATCTGGTCAGAGAGAATAGGCTCACGCTCATAGGGAGACTAACAAATCCGACAGAGCAAAGGATGAGAGCTATGTTCACTTTCTTCCTGGACAGATGGGAACTCAAACGAGGATTTGAAGGATCTGACTTGGGACACGACAGCTTCCAACTCCGCTTCACACTGGAAGAAGATCTTCAGAAAGTTCTCAAAAATAGACCCTACCAGTTTGGTAGATGGATGGTCATCATACAAAGGTGGGAACCGGTCATATCCCCACTCTTTCCCTCGCAGATCCCGTTCTGGATACGACTAAAGGGCCTCCCGCTTCACTATTGGAAAGAAGAGCTTCTCCGCAACATAGACAAGGAAATAGGAAGCCTCATCAACCATGAAGTCACAAAGGCAGAAGCAAAAATCCATGTCTCTATAAACGCCCTTGAGCCACTGGTAAAAGAAACGGTCATAGAGTTTGCTTCAGGAGAAGAAGCACTGGTGACTCTGGAGTATGAACGACTAGGCTTCCACTGCTCAATCTGCAACAAACTATCACACGTTTCAAGAGACTGCAAAATCTCCGATACCACAACCACGAAGAACAAATACCGTGACCAAGAGGGGCCGGAGAGAGAACCGGAGGGGAGAGGTGAAACAACAAGAAAGGAGAGAGAGCGTACACGAGATTTTAGCCAAAGACGGGACAGACATGGCCAGTCTTTTGGCGAAAGAGGCAGATACAACAACCCTACGAGAGAGGAAAGTAGAGAAAGATATGTGGAATCAAGGACCCATCAACCTGAGAGGGCAAACAGAGTTGTCCAGGAGAGAGAGTTTTACCATGGAAACCGGGAGCCGCCGCGCTCCAACGGATATGGACGAAGAGACATGCGAGAGTACCTTAATCATAGAGGGTCAGGAGGGGGAAGATACACTCAAGAAAGGCTACAATGGAGGGAAAAAACTCAAGAGGGAGAAAAAAGACAGGGATCCGTACCAACAAGAGAGTTACAAACTGCCTATCTCACTCCACCGAGACAAGAAGCACCTCACCAAACTCCGGGGATCCCCACAACGGAACAAGTAATGGAGGAGTTGAGGGAAGTCACCATCCGTTATGTCAACTGCCCAGACCCTGTGGAAAACGCTGCAAGACAGCAAAGAGTGAATCAATCAGAGGAGCAAGGGCTCATGGCCACTACAGCGTCAAACATAATAACAGCGGCAACAGAATCATACTACAGAACGCTAAACTTTGGGCAAGAGGAACACAACCTGGTGCAAGAAGACAGTGAGGAAACAGAGGATCAGGTAACAAGACCACAACCCACCCCAAAGAAGAGAAGAGGCCGACCCCCAAAAAACAAGAGAAGTAGTCCTATGGTGGGAACAAGTCTAAGAATGAGGCGACTCACACAGAGACAGAACTCACCTCACCCAAGAAGCAAGCAGACGAGAGTGACAAACTCCAATGTGGCAGGACCATCTCGTCGGAACACGTCGGATCAAAGGGGAGATACACAAGAGTCAAGTGGACACAGACCAGTGGGCGCGATCATACCGGCTATTACAAGAGCGACGGTGGATTTTCGGTGACCGGCAGGTCAAATTCCTTAAAAATAGCGAGCCGGAATTGTTGTGGACTGGGGAACCCCGCGACAATCCAGCAACTTAGGGGAATACAGTCAAGTATTCGACCCGACATTCTGTTCCTCATGGAGACGAAAAACCCAGATGACGTCGTCCTACAGAAACTGCAAGGCATGGATTATGACTCAAACACGTTAGTGTCACCGCATAGCCCAGGCGGAGGAGGATTAGCCCTACTTTGGAAACAAGATTTGGAAGTGGAAATACTCTTTACCTGTCAAAACTTCATTGATACGCGAATAAAAGCAGAAAGGAGGTGGTTTTACGCCACGTTGTCTATGGAGAACCGGATCAAACGAAGAGACAAGAGGTTTGGGAGATGATAATGAACCAAACTCAAGACAGAACAGACCCATGGCTACTAACCGGAGACTTTAACGAGATAATAGAGTCAGCAGAGAAGAAAGGGGGCCCAGTGAGACCGGAGAGTTCGTTCACCAACTTCAGAACCTTCATGTCCGAATGCGACTTATACGACCTTCGTTTCTCTGGGAACTTCCTCTCCTGGAGAGGAGTAAGAAACAAGCATCTTGTCAGGTGCAGATTAGATAGATCTATGTCTAATAGCGCTTGGGCAGAAGACTATCCCTCAGGAAGAAGCGAATACCTGAGTTTTAAGGGGTCGGATCATCGACCGATAATAACCAACTTTGACACCACCAGGAAGAGAAGGAAAGGACTCTTCCGCTATGACAGGAGGCTCAAAGAGAATGTGGAAGTGAGTCAACTGATATCCGATGCCTGGAACACAAGGGAGTTAAACACAGTAGAAGGCAAGATAGGCAGATGCAGACGAGAAATAATCCGGTGGAATAAACAAAGGCATCTTAATAGCCAAGAGCAGATTGAGAAGTACCGTCAAAATCTGGAGACAGCAATGACGGAGGAGCTAAATAACACTACACTTATCGAAGAGCTGAATGCACTCCTGAAAAAAGCATATGATGAAGAAGAAGCGTTCTGGAAGCAAAGAAGCAGATAACTATGGCTAACACTAGACGAAAGTAATACAAGCTATTTTCACGCGGTCACAAAAGGGAGAAAGTCGATCAACAAGTTCTCAGTTATTGAAGACGAAGCAAATCAGGCAGTGTATACAGAGAGCCAAATCACGAAAGTGATCACAGACTACTATCAACATTTATTCACATCAGAGGAGGGAGAAAGAGAATCTATAGTGGAAGAAGCGCTAAAGCCATGTATCTCGGAGAAAACCAACAAGGAGTTGATAAAGATACCTTCCTCGGTGGAGATAAAGCAAGCGTTGTTCTCCATATATCCAGACAAAGCGCCAGGCCCCGACGGTTTCTCAGCATGCTTTTTCCAATCAAACTGGAATACAGCGAAAGAAAACTTATCTCAGAGATACAGCAGTTCTTCTCTACAGGCAAACTACCAAAGAATATCAATGCAACACACGTCAGGCTGATACCGAAGATCACAAGCCCAAAGAAAGTCTCCGATTACAGACCAATCGCGCTTTGCAACGTATACTTCAAAGTTATTTCAAAAATACTCACTCTGAGGCTGCAACCAATACTCCATGACATGGTTTCAGAAAATCAGTCAGCATTTTTGCCACAACGAGCAATCTCGGACAACGTCCTCATCACACACGAGACACTGCATTACCTGAAGACATCAAAAGCAAAGAAGGAAGTTTATATGGCGGTTAAATCCGACATGACAAAAGCGTATGACAGAATCGAGTGGGAGTTTGTCAGATTGGTTCTAAAAAGGCTAGGTTTCCACTCTAAGTGAATTCAATGGATAATGGAATGCCTAACTACAGTCTCATACACATACCTCATAAACGGATCCGCCCAAGGCCTGGTGAAGCCAACAAGGGGCCTGCGTCAGGGAGACCCATTATCACCCTATATCTTCATACTTTGTAGTGAGGTGCTCTCAGGTTTGTGCCACAGAGCACAAGAGGAAGGAAGATTACTGGGGATAAGAGTTTCACAGAGGAGTCCCAGAGTGAATCATCTGCTGTTTGCTGACGATACGATGATTTTCTGTCAAGCAAGCCCTGGAAGCTGCAAAGAACTACTGACCATCCTCAAGAAATATGAAGGTGCATCCGGACAAAAAATAAATCGCCAGAAGTCAGCCATCACGTTCTCGGCAAAAAAAAGCACAATAGTGAAACAACAGGTCAAAAACTCTCTCGGAATCTAACAGGAAGGCGGAAATGGGAAGTATCTAGGCCTACCTGAGCACTTTGGTCGGAAAAAGAAAGATCTCTTCAGCTGCATAGTGGATAGAGTCAAACAGAAAGCACAAAGCTGGTCCACAAAGCGCCTCTCTGCATCCGGGAAACTTACATGCTCAAATCCGTCCTTGCAGCAATGCCAACGTACACCATGACCTGTTTCAAACTACCAGGGTCACTGACAAAGCGGATTCAATCGGCGTTGACTAGGTTTTGGTGGGATGGGAGCGATGAACAGAGGAAGACCAGCTGGATAGCGTGGACAAAACTTGTAAAATCAAGGAAAGATGGAGGACTGGGATTCAGAGACTTACAATGCTTTAATGACGCACTCCTGGCAAAGGTAAGCTGGCGGATTCTCACACAACCAAAGTGTCTTCTAGCACGGATACTGCTGAGCAAATACAGTCATGACACACCGTTCCTGGAAAGTCGAACACCGGCCACGATGTCACACGGGTGGAGAGGGATCTGCATAGGGAGAGAATTGCTCAAGTCACATGTGGGAAGGGCAATTGGAGACGGAAAAGAAACGAGGATATGGGATGACCCATGGCTGTCGCTGGACAAGCATCAGAGACCAATAGGCCCACCTCCTGAAACAACAAAAGACATGTTAGTGGAGGCGCTAATGGAGACAAACACGAAAACATGGGACATAGAGAAGATACGAAAGATTGTCCCTGGAGCAGAAGCAGATATAATGGAGCTAAAGCCAAGCAAAAGGGGGGCAAGAGATTCTTACATCTGGCTGCCCACGGAAACAAGAGTGTACACAGCGAAATCTGGCTATTACGAGAGCCTGAAACAAAACCCAGAGGAACAAACTGAAGAGCAAGAAGACCAAGGGGAAAGATTCAATTGGCTAAAACACATATGGAACATAAGAAGCTCACCAAAAACGAAGATGTTTATGTGGAAAGCTATGAATGGCGCACTACCGGTGGGAGAAAATCTGAAGGCGAGAAACATAAACACTATGGTTCGGTGCCCATATTGTGGAGAGGAGGAAACAACATTGCATCTACTATTCCACTGCAACTTTGCAGCGCAAATCTGGAGAAAACTACCCTGCAAAATCCAAATTGAGCCTATGAGTGTACAGGACATACAAACGGGAATCGAAATGTCATCGAATATCATTTGCTTACCACCAACAGGGATCGGAGAGGGCCCAATTCTCCCTTGGCTAGTGTGGAGGATCTGGATCGCGAGAAATTTGCTCATTTTCAAGAGAAAGAGCCAATCGGTCGAGGAGATAGTGACCCAAGCAGTGAGTTATGCAAGAGAATGGCAACTTGCGCAACAAAAGAAGATGAAGAGCACACAAGGAACACACATACCCAACCAATTCCGCTCCATCAGACAAATCACCGGAGGAGGCTGGACAACATGCAAATCTGATGCGGCATGGAAAGCAGAGAACAAGATCGCGGGACTGGGATGGATCATCCACAACGGAATCAACACCAACGAAGAAGAGATCTTGCTTCAAGGATCGAGCGTACAACGGTTCGTCAAATCGCCTCTCTCAGCTGAGGGACTGGCAATACTCACGACGATTCAAAAAGCAAAGGATCTCGGCATCAGAAACCTAATCATCGCCTCGGATTCGCAGCAGCTGATCAAGGCAATCAACAAGGAGCTCTCCACAAAAGAACTCCACGGGATTCTCCACGATATCCTGGATTTGGCTTTAGGATTTGAGAAAATAGTGTTTGTCCATGTTCCAAGAGAGGAAAATCGTAAGGCCGATGTTTTGGCAAAGCTTGCTTTAACCGATTGTGTAATTTGAACTGGGTTTACCATATGGAATGAGATAACCAAGTATTTGCACAAAAAAAAATATATATATATATATATATATATATATATGTATGCATCCCCAAAAGATTTCTCTTTTTTTCTGCTTTGCCTGAAATTCCCCTTGGCTTAAAAAGTGGAAACTATGCTTTGAAGCTTACTCATGTTTGTCTCTTTCAAAGATAACTTTGCATTTGTCTCTCTGAAGATATCTGTCATTTTCTCCAGGAAAGATCCTGTCTTTATCATACAAGAACCAAAATTATAATATTCAGCCGCATTTGGTACAAATCCACAGAGTAAAAAGGTTTGTTCTTTAGTTAAGGAAAGCAATTTAAAATCTGATCTAACTTACTTTCGATTGTTGACTTGCTTATAAGTTCACATTGTTTCAGTTTTGTAGAATTCTTTAGTTTGTAGAATACTAGCAAGACGAATCAAAGCACTCGAATAAGGACACAACAACCTGTTCGTTCTCCTTCTTGAAACCGCTGTTATGGCCAATCAATTGCAGTCAGAATCCACTCGGTTGTATTCATGGTGGTGGGATAGTCACATTCCTAAAAACTCAAAATGGATTCAAGATAATCTTGCAGGTCTCCTATTTATATTCTTTATGAGTCTTGAAAATTGTGTGATTCAAGTACTTTTGATGTGTGTGTGTGTTCAAATATATTTTGTTTCGTTCTGCAGATATGGATTCCAAAGTGAAGACAATGATAAAGCTCATTGAAGCAGATGCAGATTCGTTTGCAAGAAGAGCAGAAATGTATTACAAGAAACGTCCAGAGCTTATGAAACTAGTGGAGGAGCTATACAGAGCTTACCGTGCTTTAGCTGAGAGGTACGATCACACGACAGTGCAGCTTCGTCATGCGCATAAAACCATGGTTGAGGCGTTTCCTAACCAGATTCCTTCCGACATGATTGATGATTCTGCATCATCTTCTTCTTGTGAGCCTTACACAGAACACTTGCAAAAAGATGAAACTTCTGATACTGAAGTTGAAAGCTTGAAGAGAACATTGCTTGAGCTTCAGAGTGAAAAAGAGGCTTTGGATCTCCAGTATCAGCTGAGCTTGAAACAACTATCAAGATTCGAAAAGGAACTCAACGATGCTCAAAAGGATGTTAGAGAGTATGATGAACGTTCTTGCAAAGCTGAGATTGAGATTAAAGTACTCAAGGAGTCTCTTGTAAAGCTTGAGTTTGAGAGGGATACAGGGCTTCTTCAGTATACTCAATCCATGGAGCGAATATCAGATTTAGAAGCATCGTTTTCTCGTGAGCAAGAACACGTGAAGGAGCTCACTAACCGAACATCTACAGCAGAAAGAGAAGCTATTAGTCTCAGGCAAGAGAAAGAGGCAGGCTTGGTCCGGTACAATAAATGTCTTGAGATGATATCTGCTTTAGAGAAGAAGATTAGAGATGCTGAGGAGAGTGTAAATATGTTCAGAGATCAAACTGAAGAAGCAGAAAATGAAATCAAAGCTTTGAAACAAGAACTTGTGAAGTTGAATGAGGTGAATGAAGACTTGAGTGTTCGATATCAGCAGTGTTTGGAGACAATATCGAATCTAGAGAGAGATGTTTCCCAAGCTCAAGACAGTGCCAAAAGACTGAGTAGTGAAGTTCTTGCTGGAGCTGCAAAGATAAAGACTGTGGAGGAACAGTGTGCTCTTTTGGAGAGATTCAATCATAATCTGAAGGCAGAAGCAGACAATCTACTTTGCAAAATGTCGGAGAAAGATCAAGAACTAGTCAAGAAGCAAAACGAGATTGAAAAGGTTCATGCTCTAATGCAAGAAGAACATTTCCGGTTTTCAGAACTCGGAGCTAGCCTTAGGACTCTGGAGAGCTTGCATTCTCAATCACAAGAGGAACAGAAGGTTCTCACCTTGGAACTTGAAAGAAAGATTCAAATGCTGAGAGAAGAAAACCGAAACTTAACCGAAGGAAACGACTCTTCTACAGTCTCCTTCCAGGTTCAGAAAAATGAGATCTCTTGCTTGAAGAAGATGAAAGAAAAGCTCGAGGAAGAAGTTGCAAAACAGATGAATCAGAGCAGTGTTCTTCAAGTAGAGATCCATTGTTTGAAGGGTCATATTGACAACGTGAGTAGGAGATACCAACAATTAGTAAACCAAGTGAGACTCACGGGTTTGGATCCTGAATCCTTTTTTTACTCTGTGAAGAAACTACAAGACGAGAGCTCAAAGCTGCTCGAGTTATTCACAAAACAGAGAGATGAGAAAGATGCACTTACAAGAAAACTGTGTGAAATGGATAACATTGTAAGGAGGAATGCTGATTTAGAGAAACTTCTTTTGGAATCAAACACCAAACTAAACGGTTCCAAGGAGAAAGCAGAGGATCTGCAAGAACGATGTGAGTCTTTACGAGGAGAGAAGTCAGAGATTGCTGCAGAGAGAGCTAACTTGTTTTCACAGCTGCAAATCATGGCTAAGAATATGCAGAAGCTCTTGGAAAAGAACACTTTATTGGAGAGTAATCTTTCAGTTGCAAACATTGAGCTTGAAAGTCTAAGAGACAAGTCAAAATGCTTTGAAGATTTCTTCACGTTGCTCAAGAATGATAAGTCTGAGCTTATGAAGGAAAGAGAAGCTCTTGTCTCTCAGTTGCGTAAGGTTGAGGAGAAGCTAGGAGTCTTGGAGAAGAAGTATACAGAGCTTGAGGTAAAATATTCTGATTTACAGAGCGAGAAAAAGCTTAAAGACCTTCAAGTAGAGGAGTTAAAGGTCTCACTTGCTACTGAGAAGCAGGACCATGGTGATTACAAAAGATCGACTGAAACAAGATTAGTAGATCTTCAGAAGAATGTGAGCTTCCTTCGAGAAGAGTGTCGCACAAGGAAAAGAGAGTATGAGGAGGAGCTTGACAGAGTTGTAAACAAGCAAGTTGAGATCTTTATACTGAAAAAGCTTATAGAAGATTTGGAGCAGAGGAACTTCTCTCTCCTGATTGACTGTCAGAAGTATGTGGAAGCATCTGAGTTTTCAGAGAAGCTCATTTCTGAATTGGAAAGTGAGAATCTTGAGCAGCAGATGGAAGCAGAGATATTCTTGGATGAGATTGATAGCTTGAGAGGTGCAATTTCTCAAGTGGTAAAGGCACTTATAGTTGAAGCAGATTGCAAGACTTTCGAAAAGAAGATTACGAAAGACCAAACTTTGAGTGTTTTGAGAGAGATTAATGGCCTGAAATGCTCACTTTCCAGCTCTGAATTTGAGATGCATCGACTTGTAGTTGAGAACTCAGTGCTGTTGTCTCTTCTTGGACAGTTTCAGTCGGATGGTTTGATGGTGGAATCGGAGAAGAACATCCTCGAAAAGGACAAGCAAGATTTGTTGGAGGCGAACCGGTTGTTGAAATCAAAACTGATCAAAAGAGAGCAGCAAGAGCAAGAGCTGAGAGCTGAGCTACAGAAGGAGCATTCGAAGTTTGAGAGATTGCATGAGTCATACATAGTTTTGCAGCAAGATTATTCCTATACACTGAATGAGAAGAAAGCCTTGCTTCTGAAATTCTCAGAGCTTAAAGATGGAATGTGTATAGTTGAGGAAGAAAATGATGCAATTCTTCAGGAAGCTCTTGCTTTGAGTAACATGTGTTTGGTTTACAAGTCCTTTGGGTCAGAAATGGCTGAGGAGGTCGAAGGTTTTGATGATACTGTGAGCAGTTTACGCGAAATTAGCACCGGCCTGAAGCATAAGGTTGAGACGCTGGAGGAGAAGTTAAAAGGTAAAGAGGAAGAAAGTAAAAGTCTTTACAAGATGGTTGAGAAGTTACAAGAAGGCCTTGAAGAAGACAACTTCTTAAATGGACTCTTGGAAGATCAGGTTTTAAATGTAGACGAAATCTTGGAACATAAGGGAATGGTGATACTAGAAACAGAGCATATGCTTAATGTTACAAACAATGCAAATGAAGATCTGTACAGAGAAGTTGAGGAGATGAGAAGAGAGTGTGATGAATCAAGAAGAAATAGAGGAAATTTAGAGAGGAAGATTTATGAACTGTCGGATCTTGCTGCGAGACAAGACGAAGAGATTAGTAAACTCAACATTTTGAATGAGAATTTGGTGTCAGAGGTTGAGTTGCTACATGAAGAAATCCGACAACAACAAGTTCGAGAGGAGTTCTTGAGTTTGGAGCTGCAAGAGAAAAGCAATGAGGTTGGACTTTGGGATGCTGACGCAACATCTTTCTTCTTTGATCTTCAGATCTCAGCTATCCGTGAAATCTTTCTTGAAGAAAAAGTTAACGAACTTAGTGGAGTTTGTGAAAATCTCAGATACGAAGCTGTTGCAAAGACGAAGAAGATAGAACAGATGACAGAAACAGTTGGCTTTTTGGAATCTCAAGTGACTGAGCTGAAGAATAAATTGTCAGCTTACGATCCTGTGATAACATCTTTGGCAAAAGATGTAACGTCACTTGAGAAAACTACCAATCAACAGAGAGAGGTAAACTAATTATTCCTCCTCTGAAAAAATGTTAAAAACTCATACTTTTTTCACTATCTTGGTCTTCATGAACTAAACACTTCCAATTTCTTCAGAGTGTTCATCTTCAAGAAGCTCTTTGTCAAGATCCAGGCAGTGGACCAAGTATAAAGACCATCGGACAAGAAGTTCTTGATGAAAAAGACAGTCTTCGTAGGGAAAGAACTCGACGCAGCGCCTCCCACAAAGGCAGAGACAGCAAGAAGATTAGGGAGATGCAACTTGAGGACAATGTCTCTGGTGAATCTAGACAGCCAAGAACGAAGCCTGAGATGAAAGAAATTCCTGGGGATCAAGTCACAGACTCTGAGTTTTATGGCAGAAGCAAGGAAAGTAGTAATCTTGGTTCCAATGTCAATCCTTCCCAATGTTCTTCAGAAGTTTGGGAAGAAGAATCTTCTGGATCAGAGAAGAGTCTAAAGTTTCTCATCAGCAGTAACGAAACGAAGAGGCCATGTCGTCAAAGCCGGAATCCTTCTATAGAATCTGAGAAAGACGTTGGAGTTGTTGACAAGCTAGAGCTATCAAGAAACATTGAAGACAAGGCAAAGATTATGGAGAGACTCTTGTCTGACTCAAGAAGACTGTTGAGTCTCCGGATCAGTCTAACAGATCTGAAAACCAAGATAGAGATGAATGAGAAACAAGGCAGATTCAGCAACACTGATTTGGTAATAGTGAAGAGACAGTTGAAAGAAATGGAAGAAGCTGTCTTGCAGCTGACAAACACAAACGAGATTCTCTCAAAAGAGATTGAAGAGACCGGAGATTCCAGAGATATATACAGAAAAGTGGTTATGGAGAAGTCAAGAAACGGGTCTGAGAAGATCGAGCAGCTGCAGAACAAAATGCAGGACATTGAGCAGACAGTGGTGAAGCTTGAAGACGGAGCTAAAAGCAAAGGAAGCAAAACGTTGTCAGAGAGTAGGAGAACAGTGGTTCTCTTGAGAGACATTATTCACAAAAGAAGTGCGAGAAAGAAGAAAAACCGGTTTTGTGGGTGCATAAGATCTTCGAATAAAGAAGAGTAAGGTAACAAAATCTAGTTTTTTCTATAGATTGTAGTAAAGAAAAAGCATTGAACTATTATTCTATCGTATGATATATGAAATAATGGAGCAATTAGCCTAAGATATGTTTTAAAATAAAAGCTAGAGCTGGTTTATTCATCTAAGTATGTTTCTTGCGATCCAAGGCAGTAAGATTCCTTCTTCGTTTCTGTCCTGCGTGCGTTTTACGTTATTCTTCCTTATTATTTTTCGATTGCTTCTTCGTCTACGTTCTTGCTAAAAGCATGAATATGTACAAAAATTAGCTCAGAGACAGTGTTACGTCAAGTGTAATAAATTTTACTGACCTGTGACTGCAAAAAAAAAGGTACACAATTATTTCCATTATTATAAATTTAAGAAAACCCTTTAACATTAAAAAAAAAAGGAAATGTACCTCTTATATACACACACAAGACAAGTATAGAGAGGAGAAGTGGAGAACCCTAATTTCAGTTGTGGCGTTTGTGCGAGAATGGCGACGAGGATGTGCGATCTTCCAGAGAAACTGATCAGGGAGAAGATACTCACGAGGGTTCCGATAACATCGCTGAGAGAGGTGCGATCCACTTGCAAATCGTGGGAGGCTTTAACCAAAAGCTGTATCTTGGGCAAAGCAAAGGCAGCTACTGAAACGCAGCTGTTTTTGGGGTTCGTGACTGTTAAGTTTCCTTGGCATCCAACCTAAAACCAATTGGCAATAGGTGGAGTGGCCTCAGTCCCTTATATATCGCTTAAGGTCCCTTCCCACTTCCAATGTGGGACTTAGCTTGCACACTCTCTTAGAGAGTAAGGCCTTATGGTCCATTAACCTCTACATATCTCAATACCCTCCCTCGAGATAATGGTCCTTTTAACCATTAATCGCGCAGACCATCAAATCCTAGGGTCGGGGGGTCGGGCCCTTTCTGGGCCGGGTCGAGAGAGTGTGCGGGTCAAGCTCTGATACCATGTTAAGTTTCCTTGGCATCCAACCTAAAACCAATTGGCAATAGGTGGAGTGGCCTCAGTCCCTTATATATCGCTTAAGGTCCCTTCCCACTTCCAATGTGGGACTTAGCTTGCACACTCTCTTAGAGAGTAAGGCCTTATGGTCCATTAACCTCTACATATCTCAATAGTGACGATGAATTCCAAGGTTTGTTCACTGAGCTTCCATCACAAGAAAGAAGAAGACTCGGGTTTGGTTGATTTATCTATAAACCAAGTAGATTTGCTCAACCAAGTAGAGATATCTCACGTCTTTCACTGTGATGGCCTGTTGTTATGCGTGGCAAAGGACAGCTCGAAGCTCGTGGTGTGGAACCCTTATTTGTATCAGACAAGGTGTATCGTACCCACACAAAGATTCCCGCTTTATGGCATGTACGCTCTCGGATATGACATGAACCGCAACCACAAGATCTTGAGGTTTGTTGATGATATTGATTGCAGTGGTACTAGACCAACAGAACGCATTACAGGGTGCGAGATCTACGAAATTAGGTCTAACTCATGGAGGGTCCTCGAGGTCACTCCCGACTGGGAAACACGAAATTATGGCCGTGGAGTGTCTGTCAAGGGAAACACCTACTTGTTTGCTACAGAGAGACTATGCGATGAATATGGATGGGTGTCTGAGGTTAAAGATTTCTTACTCTGTTTTGATTTTACGAGAGAGAGATTCGGACCGCGCCTTCCTATTCCGTTTCACTCATATGAAGATCAGAGTGTGGCACTCTCGTGCGTTAGAGATGAGCAGCTCGCTGTGATGTATTGCAAGGACGGTGGGAATGATGATATATGTGGCAGTGTTGAGATTTGGGTTACCACTAGGATTGAGCCCGAGTCTATGTCGTGGAGCAAGTTTTTGAGAGTTGAAATGAGACCGTTTAGAATCACCGGTGTTAGGGTTGACCAGTATCGTGGGAGCTTCTTCGTTGACGAGGAAGAGAGAGTCGCTGTGGTGTTTGATCTTGACAGCTATCACCCTCCCACCAGGACCACTCGCTACCACACAGCTTTTATCCATGGAGAAGATGGATACTTGAAATCTGTGAGTCTCGGAGAAGCGCCCTGTCCCGGGCCACGTTGCCCCATAACCGGGTTTATCGCCGAAGTTTATATTCCCCCACTCGTTTGCTCTTCTTCTTATCGTCCCAGTTTGGTGCAAGTCAAGTTGACTTAGTCATGTTTAGATATTTGTTTCTTGTTTCTTGCATTACAATTTAAAAAGATTTCGGCCTTTTGTTCATGTATTTTGGTACTTTTTTTTTACTGCTCTCAAAATAAATGAATGTCTTTTTTTAGTGGGTTTCAGTTTCCTTGTCTTCGTCCTCAGTATTTGTTTCTTGCTAGACAATTATTCTAGAAGCAGAGCATATAGGCTCAAGGCTACACACAATGCAAATGAAGAACTCTACAGAGAAGTTGAGGAGAGGAGAAGAGAGTTGTGAAGAATCAAGAAAAACGAGGGGAAATTCAGAGAGGCAGATTTCTTAAATGTCAGATCTGAAATTAGAAAACTCCACACTTTGAATGAGAATTTGTTGTCAGAGGTTGAGTTGCTACATGAAGAAATCCGACAAGAACAAGTTCAAGAGGAGTTCTTGAGTTTGGAGCTGCAAGAGAAAAGAAATGAGGTTGGTCTTTGGGATGCTGAGGATAGAACCTTCTGTGTTATATGCGGTTACTTTTGCTTTGAGTTTATTTTGAGAAGCACAAGGTTGTGACATTCCGGTGAATTTGCTGGAGTAGCAGCCAGAAGCAAAAACCTAAGTAGACAAGGCATGTGCTCTGCGTCGATTGTTCTAATACATGATGTTCAAGCATCTAGCCTGACAGTTGTGATCCAATGATTTCCTTGTTTTAAATGCAGAGGACAGCTTATCGGTGAAACACATCGGGATTAACAACGAGGTCCAGCCACCGTGTAGGTCTTGGTGTAGAAACCTCGCCAGTCGACAATGCTCTTAACCTGCGGAGAAGATCTCTTTGTAAAGCCACATCAAACATGTAACAATTGCACAATAAATGAATTCATTACGCGTCCATGCAATCAGGTTTATTGAATATTAAACAGTTAACTAGTTCAATATCTTAGAAAGTGGTAGCAGCTATGAAGACTACTTAAGGACATTTCCATAAGTTTGGTTGAGCTAAAAAGGCATTACCTCACTGCTAGATAACCCACGTAACGAGTATCTCCTGCGGGGATATCACTTCAATTTCTATAAGAAACCAAGAGAAACAAGACCTATACATTACAAAAGCTCCCAAAGGTTCATTGTAATCAGAAAAGTAACTTAAAACTCTTTGTCACCCACTGAAGAATGCGGAAAACAATTCAAGTTCCCAGAAACAAATGCACGAGAAGCGTCTCTGAGACAAAGAATCATTCCCATCAGCGAGAAACATGCAAGATTTAATACAAGGAGATAGAAGAAACATACGAGAATCTCTCCACACATAACTGATCAAAATAAAACAAAACAAACAGCTTCCAGCAAATGGTTATAACTTCCTCCACTGCCGTAAGCAGGTTTTCCTTTCGTCACATCAAACACAGATATGTATCCCATGTACAAAAAGATATACTTTGTAGGTAGGCGACTGATAATTGTAAAATATTAATATGAACAAATTAATATAACATAATTTTAAAATGATACAAATAAACAAGAATTAAGAGAAACAAAACCGGATTTGCAGAGTCGAGATATGATCTCTTTCCTTAATTCTGTAAACGCCCTGTAGTGTGAAGGTTGCATCAGGGGCGAATCTAGAACAAAGTTTTATAGGAGACAAGTAAAATAATATATGCTTTTAAATGAGAGTGTATCAGAAAATTACAAGCAAGGGGGGCAAAAAAATAATATAACAACAGGGGCATAATAAAAAACCCTTACAAAATTACACTAATTTTTTTTAATTCATAGGGGACTCATAGCCTAGATTCGCCTCTGGTTGCATGGCGTTCCGAATCTCAGGATAAAACTGCACACTTCTTATAATTGCATCACTCAATTCATAAGCTTGTGAACCATGTTTTCTGTGATCTACTTTCATAAGAAAAAAGAAACAAATAAAAAAAAGAGATAAGGAGAATTGTTTCTTGTGTGAATGATAATGTGATTAACCATATATTAACAAGAGAAGGAGACATGACTTATAAAACCATTATTCCCAACATTTCCCCAACGTACAAGCATTAAAATGGAGTCGAATTCTTTCAACATGATATTAAGTTTTGATGTTACAAAACCAAATAACTTAATTTTCATTTGACACAATTAATTTGGAAAAGATATTAGTTGACTTTATCAATAGCACAATTCAAAAAGAATCTTGACCAAAATGATTAAATAATCATATGGACCATTTCCTAGGCTTGAGACACAAAATCAGCGTGGATATCTCTTTTCTCCAATACACCAAAGTGTATACAAGCTTTTAAGCTTTGTATTAAATTCTCCACTTTATATACAAGAGGATTTCACTTCAAACTTCCAATGTGAAACATTATTATACATGTTACATTTTATGTTATACAAGCAACCCACTTGGACCACCATTTCTCATTCAAACAAATTTCATTTTGACATATCAAAAATAAGTTCCAACATACTCAAGTTTACAAGTTGTTTTAAGGAGTGTGCACATATGTGTTACGAGTTTCATCACTTCTTCAGCAGAGAATAATCGTTAAATAGTATCTTATTACATAATTAAATGCACATTGTAATGAGCGATATATCCCACAATCTAATAAATAGCGCACTATCTACAACTAAAGTAAATTCTGCCGTCTTGGAAAAATTTGGAATCCATTGTCCCGCCCAATGGAAAAATTCGGAATCCATTTTCCCGCCCAATGTCAATAAAATTCCGAAACTACCCATGCAGGTAACAAAATGTTTGACGATAATCGAGGGAGATATACGTAAATTCAGAAAAAATCACGCAATAACAGACTGGGCTATACCCAATTAGCCATCATGGGCTTTGGTTAGGCTTGTATGTCCAGAAAAATAGGGTTAATGACCTAGACTATAAATAGGGGTTAATGACCTAGAAACCACGACTATAAATAGGGGTTAATGACCTAGAAACAACGACTATAAATCTGGTCGTTATCACTCCAGGCTTCCTGGGGGAGGTGGCCCACGCCAGTGGAGCTGAGCGACCTCTTTGACAACAAAGACCTTTTCCACCCACCGGTATATGAGAATACAATTCAAAATGATGTGCTCTTTATCGCATATACTTAGGTTAAAGCAATAAAGATTTTGGCCTATGTATCTGCGATGAAGATAGCAATTTTGTGATAGAGGAGGAATAGCAATTCTAGAAATAGTACACAAATTGTACAATGCGTAGAAGAAGAGTTATTCATGGTGGGTTCAGTTATGGATGGATCTTTGTAAAATTGTTTAATTATCTGTTAAAATGATCCTTTTTATGTCATTGTCTATTGTTTTAACTTAAATGTAATTATGTCCATCCCCAAATAGTTACTTGGTAAACAAGCCATTTTGTATTTTGTATGACTATATATTCTTAATTTTAAATACGAATATAGTCATTACACAGATTCACCCCTTTATATTTTGTATAGGTCACGTGCTATATCATGTATATAAGCACGTGATTTTGTAGGGAGCATGTTTGGTCGATACTAATTTAGCATGGAGCATCATCATGCCAAGAATGTGATTTTTCTTTCTTCTCTTTCATATGAATTGCTTACTTTGGGGACATTAACTAATACAATAATCTGTCTGTATTATTTTGTTATAAATCTTTGAGTTTTAACATTTTTGCTTTACTTGCGGACTGATAGTTACATGGATTTCCGAATTGCAACATGTATATTTACATCATTTTAGTTTTGGCATATTTGCATAACGACCTTTACTATAGTGATGAGAATAAAATTAGGAGTTTTCAATATCATTTTTGACTAAACAAATTCTTCATTCAGTTGCATCTTTTATTTACGGGAACGTGTACGGATTAAAATTTGATCATCGATGCACCCGGTCATCATCTCCGCTTAATTAACACAGCAAATATAACTGTTCTTGAAGCTGGTGCTATGGCCAATCTGCTACAATCAGAACCAACGCGGTTGTATTCATGGTCACATTCCTAAGAAACTCAAAATGAGATTCAAGATAATCTTGCAAGTCTCCTATAAATCTTCTTGCCTTGTCCTTTTGTGTTCTTTATGAGTGTTGGGAAACTGTGTGTGTGATTCTAGTACTTTTACTGTGTGTTTCAAATCGAGTTTTTGTTTCTTTTTGAACTAGATATGGATTCCAAAGTGAAGCCGATGATGAAGCTCATCGAACCAGATGCAGATTGATCTGCAAGAAGAGCATAAATGTACTACAAGAAATGTCCTGAGCTTAGTGTAAGAGCTATACAGAACTTACAGTGCTTTAGCTGAGAGATACGATCACACAACAGAGAGACGAGAAAGATTTTGTGAAGAACGTGATGGGTTGACATCTTTATTACACAACCACAGATGATAAAACTGTGCTAACTTACAACGTACCAACTAGAAGTTGGCTTTTATATGATCATCTCTGTCACCTTGAAAAAAAAAGATTCAAAGAATTTTTATAGCTACACACAACATCAAAATAATGCTCTCAGTGTTGAGGAGTGAGGGAAGGAAACGATGGAATCGAATGAAGTATCAGTTTCCGGCCGCCATTTCTTCTCCCTAAGATTGAACCTGAGCTTGATGAGTCCATATGAGGAGAAGAGACCCTCTTGCTGTTGGGAGAGACAGAGTTGATGTTATCTATAGAGGAATGGCTGAGAATCTCAGGCATTTCTTCACCTCCCTCCTCTGTGATTCTCTCAAATGACTTCTCAATCCGGGGCTGAGTCAATCTAATGTCTTGTTCTCTTAGATATTGACTATTAAACATCCCTGAGGAAGATCCACCTCCAATTAGAGACTGTGGAGGAGGAGGCATCATGTTCTTAGCTGTTGAGAAAGGTTCTTGTCTGAAAACAAAAAAAAAAACAGAAATGTAGCTATTCAGGTGATATAGACTCACATCAAAAACTCCTCAAGGATTTGAGAAATCTACCTGTAAATAGACATTGGTGTCAAAGGTTGAGCAGAAGAAGTCTCCTTTTTCCTCAATAGAACCTCAGTGTTCTGTTGAGTTTTAGCTGTTCTGCTTTTGTCAGATGTTTCATTTTCCTCTTCTTGTTCGGCTTCCATGTCAACAGTTGAAGACCCTATAAGATATTTATTAAATAGACTCAGAATCAGAAAGAGCACTTGTGAATATCATCAGTAAATGACAAACTCAGAGAGCAGGGAAGCTAGCTAACCATCTTTACGGCCGAATGCGTTCTTGCATCCTTCACATCTACAGTTTATGGAACATCCCACACCACCCTTTAAAACAAACACATCACAACCAAATCATAAGAATCATAGCAAAGAAATTTAACCATATAGATCCATTTCAAGAACAAAATAAAAACCTGAAAGCATTCACAGTATTTCTTGAGACAGTTTGATTTCTTGCAGTTGCAGCCACGCTTATGCCGCGCAGAAGCTGGAGTTTTGCTTGCATCATCCTGTTTAGTGTCATTACAATATTAGCATACCCTTCAAGCAAGATATATATATATATATATATATATAAATGGACTATGGAGAATGGAGGAAAAGAGATCATACCCCGGTTTCTTGAACAGAATCAGAGCTCCTAATGACTTTAGGAGCAAATGCAAGTGGATTCCGAGATTCAATCTGTTTGCGAGTAGCCAAGACTGTATCTTCATGAATAGGCTTGTTGAAACAATCTATACATGAACATGGCTCTATGCAATAGACTCCAGCAGCAAAACATTCACAGTAACTGCACACAAAACCCAATCAAGACACTAAAATAAAACCAAACTTCTGAAACAGCCAAAAGATCAAAGAAGTCGAGCTTACAGTTTCAAACACTTGGACTTTTTACAGTTGCATCGCTTGCATGACTCTCCTTCTCCAGATTCCAGCTTAGCCCTGTGTGTTCACATTACCAACAGTTAATAAACACAGAGAAACAAAAAACAGAACAGTTTCTCTCAGGAAAACAAAACAAAAAACTTGCCTTTTCTTCTTGGGGCTGCTCAAGTTCAACTCTTCCAAAGCTGGCTCAACGAGGACATCTTGTTCTGCATCTTCCCTAGTTTCGTATTCCGTTTGGTTCAAAGTTTCTTTCAGCGTAGAACTTGAACCAACTTGTATCTCCCCGGGACAAAAGTAATCATCAGAGACATTGGTTTTAATGTCCATTGAGGACAGTAAAATGGCATTCAGATGAAGACCAATGCTCGGCACAACACAAGCCGCGTTGTTATTCTGGCTCAGGCTCAGTGTTTGCTTATTCCCCGGAAGCTCAAAGTCCAGGCAACGTCTTCTTATACCGCGATGCAAGAATGAAACAGTCTGTGTCACACACAAGAACAAAAACTCTTTCAGATATTTTTAAGAAACTGAAGTTAAACCAATTATGAGATGATATTATTCATGAGTTTACCTCACAAGGATTTGTGTCTGAGGACTCTGGTTCATTGCGGAGACGTGCTTCGGAGGTTGATGCTTTCTGCATCATAAGGCATCTAAAAGCCTCTGAATCATTAGGTGAGCCAAAAATTAATAGCTCAGAAGCATCTGAAATCAAACTTTCCCAGTCCGGAGTTTCGATTTTCCCCTGAACGTTATCATCATACATCTTCTGCAACTCTGTTCCTGCAGCATCCTCAGACGAACCATTCTCTCCTCCAGAAGATGGAGGAGGAGGAAGAGGAGCGTATGGAACAAGTGAAAGATCTGTGCTATCTTCTCCCACAACAGGATCATTTGTTGGCAGCTCTGTTTCAATTGAAGTTTCTTCTCCAATGGAAGCTTCTTTAGTGTCTTCTGCTTCTGCTGAAACATCTTCATTAGAAGTAGATTCGTCTGGAGATTCTTCTTCCACAGGATTGGAAGAGTTGTGAGTTTTGAAGAATCTGGATTCTCTGTGGGAAGAAGATTGGTGTGGTGAGGTGAAAACAGAGGGAGGGGAAGTGAAATTCAGAGAGGTGAATTGGTGAGGATTGGGAATTGATTTGACAGGTCTTATTGGAGACAAACTGTTTATGTAATTGAACACTGGAGAATCCTGCATTTTTCAGACAACAACAACAACAACAAAAAAAGAGAAAATTATGAATCTAAAACCAAATAATTGAGTTCTTTTAACATACTGTCAAAAGTAAAACCAAATCTAAAACCAGTTACTATTGTGTTGTGTCTTTGAACTAATTACTTTTGACAATTAATCTTTTTAAAGGAGACAATTAATCAATTATGAATCTTATTTTGTGTTGTAATTAAGGTAAGAGTAGTGATTACAGATTACAATTAAGAATTTTATTAGTACAGAGTGAAAAAAGTACAGATTTTGTAGTGAATTGGGGGATGATTGATCATAATTGAGTTGTGAAGCGTGAACTACTGAAACCCGGTCAAAGTAAAACAAATCTGAAACCAGTTACAGTTGTGTTGTGTCTGAATTAACTGCTTTGACTTCAAACAAAAACCAGAAAACAAAAATCAAGGAAAAATTAGAGAGACGATAGTGTCTGATTTGTGTAGAAAATTGATCAACTAAACCTATGAAATCTGGAATTTTTTTCTACGAAAAAAGTACAAAAATTCAGAGATAGGCACCAAAATATGAGAATTGACACCATAGAAACATAAACAGAAGAAGAAAGAAGTTGAAAAAAAACTGAACTTTGACTAAAGCAATAAATATGTGTTTAAGAGAAAAACCTCGAATTTGGATTTGGAAATTGGAGTTCCGATCTGCGAAATATTCTTCTGAGGCGTATCCATTTTCCAACAAACAAACAAAAAATCACATCCACACACAGACACACACAGTCTCTCTCTTCTCTCTCTCTCTTATCTCTGAAGAAAGTCTTGCACTTCACTCACTTTCTCTCTCTCTCTTTGTTTAAGTGGAAGAAGAAGACGGAGGAGAGATTTCAAACAAGAGCACAGGCGGGAAAAATGAGGGTTTCTTCTCAGAACAGACCCACCACTGACCAGTTGTGACTTTCCCTAACACCTGTCTATCTTTCTCTGTTTGTATTATATGCACAACACAACTGTATGTATGTATGTATATAAGTATGTCTGAATAATGAATCCTTGATACTTTGCTTTGTCTGCAATCAAGCCAAATAATATATATACACTCTCTGATTCCTTCCTTTTAATAAAGTAACGGATACTTGTATTTTTATCTCTTTTTTCTTCCCTTTTTTACTGGAAATAAAATATAATACAAGAAAATAAATAATTGCAGGACTTACAGTTTTCTATTCACTGCTTCTCTTTTGTTTGCATTCAAATCGAAACCTTCCTCTCTTTTAGTTAAGTGGTTATGTACAATCCAATCTGTCACTTAAAAGAAAGTACAAGTATTTTATTTTTAATACGCAAAATAGTCCGGAGGAGTGGCCAACTTTCGCACCTTTGCTAAAAGAAATCGACATATGTAGAAGGAGATTCCCCTCTTTCTGCATAACGCACATACCGAGAAAGGAGAACACGAAGGCAGACAAGTTAGCACGCAGTGCTCGAGCTCTACCTATTGATGTGTATTATGTAAATTCTGTTCCATCGGCTTGGATCACTGAGTTGGTTTAGGAATAGAGGCTGATAACAAAAAAAAAAAAAAAAAAAAAACGCAAAATAGTCAAACACGCTTATTAGGGATAATTCTTAAGAAATCGTAACAACAATAATAAATAAATAAAAGACTGACAGATGATTTGTTAATAAAAAGGAGCACATTATAAGGCTAAATCCGGGAGAATTAGAGTATATCCGTAAAAGAAAGAGCCTCTCTGAAACTGCTAATCACGAGAAAGCACTTATCATGACTATTAAATGTGAAATTGATTGGTCAACTATTCAGCATAATTCAAAGACTGATAACGGTTCGAGAAAATCAAGTAGATTATTATTGGCCTTTTATTGTCATAAACATAACTGTTTATTAAAATATTTTCTTTATTATAATTACTTTCTTATTTGCACCACTCCAGTCCATATACTGTAATAAGAAAATGATTGCATTTGTGTTCAGTATTATTTTAGTAGCTTTTTTCGTATAGCGAAATTGTTATCGACGTGACAAATTTAGCACGTCAAGCCGTTATTAGACCTAATGTTACGTATGATTGGTATTTGCTTATTATTTGGTAATCTCATATCATGAAGAGGTTATCAGTTTAACTGTCACCATTCCAAAAAAAAAACTGTAACAAGTTGCACTATCAAGCTGCACCTTTTTAAACAAGCTCTGTTACAATTTTCTCACTATTCCGATATTGTTTTGTGTCAGTGTCACTAATCAGATTTATCATCATTTATTTACAACAATGTAAAATCAGGAGATTTTTTTTTTTTTTTTGGATCTAGAGACTATATAGAATGCATCATTAGGGGTAGGCCATTAAAAATATATAGAGCCGGGCTATGTTAGTAAGTAAAATTAAATTTCTTGTTTCCACCAAAACAAGATATGTTAATAAATGGTACCACCCCTTTTATTTTCGATAGCCAAACATGCCATCCCCGTGACGCCTTAAAGTTAAAAGCTCTAGAAAAAATAAATTCGCCGGTGGGGTTACGTTCTGTTACTACGTGATTTTTTCCGGAAGTTACGTTTATATCCTTGTCTTATCCTCGAACATTTTGTTACCTCGCATGGGTAGTTTCGGAATCAACGAAAATGACAGCTAGGCGTTAAGTGAGACTGGGCGGGAAAAATGGATTCGGAATAAAAGTGGCTTTTTCGTGTACGGTGGAGTTTACTAAAGCTATAGTGCGCTACTGAGATTGTGGGGATCTGATGGATGATAGATAGACACGTGGATGGATATCTTTGTCTTGCTTGATGTTGACTAATTTGACTTGGCAAGTTACGGGTGTACGATTTGTCGAACTACGTGGACTTGTAACCCAGATCTTGTGTCTACCATTCTCTCTGCATAGGTGTTATCGAACACTCGAAACGACGCCGTAGCTATTCCAATTGTTTGTTTTCTCGTGATGCCATTGAATGACATGTTCGATTTCACTTTTTGGTCTTTTAATTGAGGAAAGATTGAGAAAATGACTGTTAAACATATGATACGTCGATCAAAGAAGGTTTTAGGGACATTGTTATTGGTCTTTTAATTGAGGACCTCAATTAAAAATTGAGAAAATGACTGTTAAACATATGATACGTCGATCAAAGAAGGTTTTAGGGACATTGTTATATGATTTAACCAGTTAGAACATTTTAACTACTTGATATACCATCTAATTTAACTACTCTCTCCGTTTCATAATTTATGATATTTTAAAGTTTTATACAAATTAAGAAACATTTATTGTTTAATGTATATTTCTCTTATATAAACCATTTTTTACTAAATATTAACCAATAGAAATTCAAGAATCCATAATCACTTTGCAAGCGTATCCAATCTGCTCTCACAAGATTTTTGTGGGACTCTGATCCTGAAAAAAAAAATGTGTTGTATTTCGTGGAATAAGATGGCGAAACCTAAACACCTAGGTGATATGGGATTCAAAGATATCAACAACTTCAATGATACTCTACTGGCTAAACTCAATTAGCGCATATTAAATAACCCCATATGCCTCTTAGCAAGAATTCTGGAAGGAAAGTATCATGCCCATACCTCTTTCCTGGAGAGTTCGATCCCAAGCTCAGCCTCACATGGATGGAGGAGCATCTGTACAGGCAGAGACCTCTTGATCAAGAAGTTAGGCTGGGCCATTGGTAATGGAACGAATATAAAAGTGTGGGATGATCCATGGCTATCTTTAAAAACTATCTGTACACCTATAGGGCCGCCTACACAAGAAGCACAAAACCTCACAGTCTCAGACCTTTTCATACCAAACTCTGTGATCTGGGATCCAGTAAAACTACATCGATATCTCCCGGAATACAAGAAATTTATTCTCACCTTGAAACCAAGTAGACTTGGGGATGCTAATTGAGATGGCTCGGAAACTCTTTTGGCGAGTATTCCACTCGATCCGGCTACTTAGCAGCTGCGGAAGCCTAGGAACTTCATCTTCCCCTGATTCCTGGCCCGACAATGAATTGAAATCAACAAGTTTGGGGTCTTAAAACCTCCCCAAAGGTAAAAGTATTCATATGGAAATCGTTGCAGGGAGCCTTAACTGTGGGAACGCAGCTGGAAGCCTGGTGTATTCCAGAAGAACCGGAGTCAATCCTACATCTCCTCTTTCATTGTCTGTTCGCTAAAGCAGTTTGGGAAAAAGCGATCTTCTCAGAGAACTTCGTCTCGACTATATGCAGTAACGTCCGAGAAGGCTTGGCGATGGCTCGAACCAGATTAAATCTCCCACCAATTGGACTTGACAGAGGCGCTTTATACCCTTGGATCTGCTAGGCTCTTTGGATAGCCAGAAACCAGAAAATCTTCGGAAAAAAAAATTTCACGGTAGAAGACACGATCCTGAGAGCTATTCAGGATACAAGGGAATGGAACATGGCCCAATCAGCTCCGTCTCATCCTATTCCCCCACCAAATCTCCCAGTTCGTTTAGAGACTCTTCCTGTTAGACAACAATGAAGAAATTTTTCCTGCTGCACTAATGCAACATGGACTGCTGAAGCTTCTTCAGCTGGATCCGCAGGACTTTGCTGGAATTTTTTTCATTTAACGAAGAGGTCATCTCTTCTCACTCCTCGGCCTTAACTACTATCTTTTCGGCGCTTGTAGCAGAGGCTCTTGCAATTAGGGAAGCTCTAACTATGGCGATCGACAAGGGCTTTAACTCTCTCATTCTACAATCAGATTCCCAGATTCTAATCAAGGCGATTGTCGCAAAATCAAGCTTGATTGAAGTCCATGGAATCCTCGAAGATATCAGTTTAACTGAATCTTCCTTTGAGTTTCTAAAGTTTAAGTTTACCCCTTGCCGTTTTAATTTCAGAGCTGGCTTTGTAGCCAAACAGGCTCTTAGAAACTTTAAGCCTGTTGCGGATTAACCCTTTCGGGATTTTATTAATGAAATGGTGTAAAAAAAAAAATCAAGAATCCAATTATTTTTAATTAATAGTCATTGAAGTTTGTAATTTGTTAGTATTAATTGACAAAAGTACCTTAGAAACTCTAAAACATTATATATTATGAAACAAGAAAAAAAAAAGTTAAAATATCATACATTCTGAAACGGAGAGAGTATAATCAGAGCAAAATGTGTAATATCAACGAGATATGTCTAATAATTGGGAGGATTTATCGATAACCCCTTTTAATTTTTAGAAACACTAGGGTTTAGGGTTTAGGGTTTAGGGTGTAGGGAGTAGTTGGTAAAAGATGTAGTCATATACACATTTATGAATTATTTACTGTGTTTGTTGGTTTTGAAGACTTGAAGTGTGAACTACAATTCGGTATGGTGTACGATACGGTGGTTTATATAAAAAAATGTCGTTAACCATAAGCTAGCTTTGAATCTAGAGAGCCAACTCTTGATCAAAAATTTAAATCTAAAATTTACATTTTTTTTTTCTTTACAGAACCTAATTGACAAGTCTCGAACGGATCGGAAAAAATTCGTTCACAAAAGCATAATGAATTACAGTTACTAAAATGGTGAAATTGATCTCAAACTTTTTTTTGTCGACTAAATGCCAACATTTTATATAGTTAAGATCACTTTAATTTAAGTAAACAAAAGTTTCATTTTCTAAATTTCTTAAATCATATATTGATTTATTTTTGTTCGTCTGGTCTCATATAAGAGATATTTTTCTAACCCCCACTGATATAAGTTAGCTAGGTAAGTAGAATCCAAATTTCATAGATGTCAAACAATATGAAAATGAGTGCTATAAAGTCTATATATATATAAGTGGCCTGTGGGCTGTGGCTAACCACTTGGTTGATTTAAGTTTCATTTTTATTTGTAAACGATACATGACGATGGTGACCCAAATTTCAATCCATGCACGTTCCCGTAAATAAAAGATACAATTGAATGAAGAATTTGTTTAGTCAAATGATAGGGTAAACTCCTAATTATTATCCTCATCACTATAGTAAAGGTCGTTCGTACTAATGGTACATGCTAGTTATGCAAATATGCCAAAATTAAAGTGATGTAGATAAACATGTTGCAATTCGCAAATCCATAAAACTCATAATGCGAGAATCTCGTAAAGACAATCAAACGAAAACTATCAATCCATAAAGATAGCAAAAATGTAATAAAACTCAAAAGAATTATAATAACAAAAGACTACAGACAGACTATTGTATTGGTTAAAGTCCCCAAAGTAAGCGATTCATATGGAGAGAAGAAAAAGCACATTCTCGGCATAAAGAAGCTCCATGCTAAAATCATAGTGTCGACCAGACATGCTGCCTGCAAAATCACGTGCCTACATGACATAGCACGTGACCTATACAAACAAGAAAGCTATCCTTCATGAGAAAATCAAACAGAACACATATTTTGAGTCTTTAAATATACTTGTTAGTGGATAAACAGGTATTGTAAAATGGGGATATTATAAAGTTGTTTGTTGAACCTTTAGTGAATGTCAGGTTGCTTGATTCTTGATAGCAGTTTAATCAGATTATTAAGAAAGACTGCTATATAAATAGACAATAATTTACATTTTTAATTACCAAGTCAAGATCCTCTCTATAATGCTTCTCACAAATGACAAAAAGGAAAGGCCAACGTACCAAAGTCATTATTTAGCTCTTATTGTATATGTTTGTATGGTGGAATCTGTGATTGTTTTTTTCTTTTGACCATTTTTATCCATAATCCTTGTATAATTTATTTGTATTCATTTGTGAATTTTGGTAAGAATAACACTGACTGGGACGAGTTTAAGATTTTTTTAATTCTTGATTTGAAGTGGGTAAATCAAGAGTCAAAAATTTGAATTTGCTTATGAATTATCGGATAAATTGTTTGAATTCTAATTTCTGGAAAGCAAACAAGACTGCGTTAGTTGGAGTTTAGGAGAACGAGTGTGTTCTTAATTTCTCAAATATGTAATCAGTGGCAATATCTACACGTGTTGTTTTACTTATAAGTTAAAAGTACTCCCTAAAATTACTAAATCAAGATTTTTTGTCGATTCTTCTTACATTTATGTGAATTGTATTTGATTTTTTTTTTGGGCTGGCCTTAGACTTTTGAGCTAAAAAAAGAAGAGAGTTGGTAAAAACAGTATTATTTTTGTTTCCAAATAATACGTTTTTGTCCATTCTTCTTAGATTTATGTCAATTATAATTGATTTTTGGGCTGACTTGGCCTATGCAAGTCTCTCTTCTTTTTCTCTTTAAGTACACAAAAGTTGGTACGTCTATCTTTTGACTTATGTACTCATGAATCAAAGTGAATTTCAACTTTTTCTTTTTTTTTTCATATCAGTATATTAATGTCAGTTTAATAAAATGGAGGCACGCCGATAAGTATATTTGTTAAGACTTTCTATATATATATTCAGGGCCGTCCCTGACTTTATATGGGTCGCAAGCCAAATTTAATTTTGGGCTGATGAAGTAATAAATTAAAGAAAATTTTAAAAGGAAAAACATATTATGCACGCATAACCAACTAAGCTATAGGAGACTTTGTCAAAATATGACCGATTAAATTCTTATTTAGAAACAGGGCCGCAAGCACCTGCTTGTCCTGCTTGCTCCGAAGGACGGCTCTGTATATACTGTCCGGGATCCTTGAAAATATAACAAAACATCTTACAAAAGAGGGATGTCCATTTGAGCTTTTTAGATGATAGTATATGTTTTCTAATATCTAGCTAGTGTCTGAAGCTGAGAATATTATGCGTATACAAGCACATGTCATCCTTGATTTCAACTTTGAATCTTAAATAAAAAAAATACTTCCACTCATAATCGGATAAATGAAAGTTAATATTTTTATATGAGTGATATTTTACATTATTCATGCTGTTAAGTATACTATTATTTTAACTTTAAAGCCAGTGGAGATTTAAATGCAATAACTTTTGGTTATGCAGATAAATGGTAGAGACCAGATGAATGATGTGGACCGGTCATAAGTATTTGTTTGTAAGTTGGTGAGGGATTATAAGGATAATCTTGTTTTATTATTGTTATGTTTTGAGAGCGTACACATAATAGAGTGATGATGAATGGAAGCTTGCGATGCTTTAGCCCAAAAAGAAGAAACTATAATATGATATAGTATTGACTTTTTGGTAAGGTAGATGTGTACATGTCTTGTTACATACAAATGTGTTGCGACACGAAACGATAAATCTTTGTTTGTGTTTCATCTTGGACCGGACCCCTACATACATGTACACTGCACACCAAAGTCTGTCTGTCTGTCTGTCTTTTATACTCAACATTGTTATATTCTTAAAATTTGTTCATAATAAAACTATAGGATATTCCCGAAAACACATGTTCAAATGGGTTCGCGGTAAGATATATGGAAAGTCTTATCACGACTGTCACTTGTAAGAAAACTATCAGTTGCTTACACGCATATTTAGATATATAATATGGGCACTTATAGCTACAAAACACAAATATATATATATATATATATATATATATATTTTTGATAATTCTGGTATCCGGACAGCCATATTTCTGACTATCTCCATAAGTGGGATCCAGCACTCCAACGGAAGGGATGTTAAATCCGTTGTGGCCGGAACTCGAACCCAGGTGGCAGATACTTCAGCTGAGGGTCTTTACCACCGGGCCACAAGCGCCGGTTAAAACACAAATTTGCTAGGTCAAACACTGCAATAATCTCGTAATGATAGACTTGATACTTCAAAAGTTTAAAGAGTTTGCTTTTAGAAGTTCTATATTAAGCTACTTTATAGCTTACGATCCTATCAAACCGGGCGTGGGCCTTAATTTGGGCCATTAGTTTAAGTAATTACTGAAATTTTTTAATATATGGGTCTCAAAGCTTCAGTTTGTAGTCTTTGACAAGCATTAACATTAATTTTTTTTTTTGTTGTTAAACAATACAAAACTGAAGATATTGGATATATTTATATTGATTGAGTTTTTTTTTTTTTTTTTAAGATATTAAAGAACAATAGATATTGATGAATAAGTGGTGGATATACATTCTAATATGCTGTAATACACATTTGATAATTTTGTTTGTTTGTTGATATATATGAATGAGAAACAAATAAATACGTTCTCCTTAAAACCAGCCTGAAAGAAACAGCTTCTCATTCCGTCTTTCACTCTCCATCTCTCTTCCGTCGTTTCCTAAGCCCTTTTGTTCTTTTCTCAGATTCTCTCTTTGAGATCTTCTCTCATTTCATCCACACACACCAAAAAAAGAGAGATTTTTAAGATTTCTTACCCTGGAGATAAATTAAAAAATTTCTCTTGCAGTCTCTTTACTATTTGATATTTTTTCTTTCTTTAGTTAGCCTATTGCGTCTGTGATTCTTCCTTGGTTTCTGCATGTCCTAGTGGATGATACAGCTGACTTCTGGATTTGTTTTTTTTATTGATTGAGTATTAGTATTAATCTTCCTGGATCATTCGTGTGCTTGATTAGATCACAAAACATAACTGTGGGTAACAAGTCGTTTTCTTAGGGTTTACTTTTTCTAATTGTGGGGTTTGATTTTTCGTTTTTTGTTTTTAATAAACCAAAAAGAGAGCTTCAGTTAGAGAAAATCTAATAGTTGTGATTTTGAAAGAACAGGGGAGGAGAAATTAATATTGATTAGTTTGGTTTAAAATTTAGACTTGTTTCATGATTTAACCTGCTTTTGTTTAACCTACTAATCAAAATATTGTTTTTTTAATCCTGCGTTGGTTTCATTCATTTCACTAGTAATCTAAGGAGAAACTTGATTTTTTGATAATGATGATGATGATGAAAAGGTTGAAACTTTGAGTCAGAATCTTTGTTTTGTGAAAGTTGTGTGGTCTTTTGTCTAGTTAAAGAGTCTGATTTTGAAATTATGGAGAAGAAATCATCAGGAGGAGAAGAAGGTCTTGGGAAGAAAGACAAGATCTTTAGAGCGGATAAGATTGATTTGAAGAGTTTAGACAAACAGCTTGAGAAACATCTGAGTAGGGTTTGGTCGAGGAACATTGAGAGAAATCAGAAACCAAAGGAGGAAGAGTGGGAGATTGATTTGGCTAAGCTGGAAACAAGGAATGTTATCGCTCGTGGTACTTATGGTACTGTCTACAAAGGCATCTATGATGGACAAGATGTTGCAGGTAACTTCAAAACAAACAAAAACATCATTCTTGACCTTGTGGTTTTTAATGTTTCCATTAGAGATTGTGACTGTGTTTTGTGGTTTTTTGAACAATGGCAGTGAAGGTTCTTGATTGGGAAGATGATGGGAATGGACCAACGGCCAAGACCGCGACAAATCGTGCTTTGTTCCGTCAAGAAGTCACTGTTTGGCACAAACTCAACCACCCAAACGTCACAAAGGTTGGTTAAATTTAGTTAAGTTAGTTCAAAAGTTTATGGATATATATTGAGAAATCTTTGAATGTTTTAACAGTTTGTTGGAGCGTCAATGGGAACAACGAATCTGAAAATACCATCAGCTGATTCAGAAAACTCGCTGCCTCAACGTGCTTGTTGTGTGGTTGTGGAGTATGTACCTGGTGGAACATTGAAAACGTTCTTGATAGACAATAGGCGAAAGAAGCTCGCTTTTAAAGTCGTTATCAAACTCGCTCTGGATCTCTCCCGAGGGTATATCAGATTAATATATCTTCTTACATTGCTACTCTTTTTTCAAGTTACGTGGCAAACAAACCTTATTGTCTTTTGTTGTTGTTGCAGGCTAAGCTATTTGCATTCAGAGAAGATTGTGCATCGCGATGTGAAAACAGAGAATATGCTTTTGGATCATCAGAGGAATTTGAAGATCGCGGATTTTGGAGTAGCGCGTGTGGAAGCTCTAAATCCAAAGGACATGACTGGAGAAACTGGTACTCTTGGATACATGGCTCCTGAGGTAAAAACTTTAACCTTTCTCTGTTTTTTTCGAAAAACTGGATCGAGTTAAAAAATTAGGTTTTTCTTTGCATAGGTTATTGACGGTAAGCCATACAACAGAAGGTGCGATGTGTACAGCTTCGGGATATGTTTATGGGAAATCTACTGCTGTGACATGCCTTATCCTGATCTTAGCTTTGTTGATGTTTCTTCTGCGGTTGTCTTACACGTAAGTTTTGACCTAACATAACCCTTGTTAGTTTCCTTGTTGCTTACGTAAGGTCGAAATTGTGAAATTTGTTTCTTTGGTTTTGTAAAGAATCTGAGACCGGAGATACCGAGATGCTGTCCGACCGCATTGGCGACTATAATGAGGAGATGTTGGGATGCGAATCCGCAGAAACGACCGGAGATGGAGGAAGTGGTGCATATGCTTGAAGAAGTTGATACAACTAAAGGTGGCGGAATGATACCAGAAGATCAGAATTCCGGCGGCTGTTTCTGCTTTGCTCCGGCTCGTGGCCCTTGAATTTCCCCTTTTACCCCCTCTTATTTTGGTTTGATCTTCTAGTTTTCTTTTTTTCCTAAACATTGAATGCTCACTACAAGAAAAAACAAGTATTGCTACCATTTTTTTTGTCACAATATCATAATATTTCGTCACAAAAACATTATTGTGACAAAAATGATACGAATTACAAAACGTAGCAATGAATTCGTCACAACTCATTTTTAGTCTCAAAAACGTCACAAATGTTTGTTACGATGGTAACAATTAGTCATAAATTGTGACACAATTTAACAGTTACAGAAATGACACAATTGGTGACAAATTTTGTCACAAACAAGCCACAAATTCTGACAAAAAAAAGGTAGCATGCTGGCCACGAATTATTACCATATTTTAGTCAATAAAGTGTAACAAAAATGAGACCAGGAAAATGTTACAAATATGTCACAATTAGTGACTAAATTATAGTCATAGAATAGTCACTATTTGTTTTTAATTGTTACCCTTTTTCTTACTAGATGTGTAACAAATTGTGACGAACTATTACTTAATTGTCACCAATAAATATTCATCATTTTTAATTATAAAACAAAAGATAAAAGTTAAAATTATAAAAAAAACAATAATAAAATAGAAAATACTTAATTACTTAAAAATACAAAATATTTCAAAACAAAGAAAACTTACGAAAACAAATCCTAATAACATAACTTAAAAGAAATCCTAATATCATAACTTAAAAGGAAATCCTATATCATAACATAACAAAACAAAGAAACACAAACTTAAACACAATCCTAAGCGAGCCTTATGGAAACGTGAATGGTTTTGATGATGGAATTGGAATTAGGCATTTTGTCTTTCCAAACTCTCAAGTTTCTTCTCCAAAGCTTCAAGTCTCCTCTGAATTTGCAGATTCTCTTCACGGCTTTCTTTCAGCTCTGTTTCCATCTCTTGCATCCTTTGTGGACACATCTCTGGTTCTTCAAGTTGTGGTGCACTCGAAGAAGCTTCGCCAGCTAGTAAAACCTCACTACGTAGTGCTCCAAGTCCAAAGATGCCTTGGTTAGATACACCAGTAGCAGCCTAGAAGAAAAAAACCACAAATATATCGAAGTCAATCAACTAGCTACACAAGTCCAAAGTCTCTTTCACTACCATGACAATAAAAACGACCAAACAAGCAACAGATTTCTAAAATGCAGCATAAGCAAATGAAGAATACTCAAAGAAATACAGAAATACTTTCAGCTAATGAAATGTAATTAACGAGTAAATGAAAAGCAATCATTGGGTTTTGCATAAGAGTAATGAAGCCATAGATTGTTGGCTTCGACAGATTCATAAAATCCAACTGAGATTTCAATTAAGGATCAGTTTCAAAGCTTTACCTTGACATAAATTTCATTTTTTTCACGTAGGCCCAGATTTTCAGCGGTCCACTGTTCCCCAGCAATTTCGAGCTGTCCCAAGTGTTCTTCTAGATGCTTCTCGTAAGCTTCTGCAACTAAACGTGCTCTTTGATCAGAGTACGTTCCATCTGCCTTCTGGTGTGTTTTCTTCATCACGGCAAAGAAACAGAAGTCCTCATTGTTTGCTTCCTGCAAACGAAACAGTAAAACAGAGTGAAATAATAAAAGCAATCACGATTAAAAACAATAAAGAAACCAATATTTATTTAAGCATTACCAAAACATCTTGAACTTTAGCAAAAGAACGAGATCCTGCTACGTGGGAATATGGACCTATACCACCGCGATCAGACATTCGTGAAGCTCGAGCTTTCGCACTCTTTTCTATCGCTTTAGCTGTTGCCCAATGAGCTTCCATAATGGCCCAAACATCAGACATGATCCAATCTGGTTTTTCCCCTGTTTTCTGAGCGTCCTTCTTTGCAGCGCTTATCATTCCTTTGAGGCGATAAGCAGCAAGCTTATCAAACTCTCCTTTAACTTGATGGTTGATAGCTGGATTCCAGTTGAACTTTTTCTGAAAACAAGGACAATATTTACTAGATTAAAAGCATAACTTATGACAAACTCAGAGTTGATATTAAGCAAAACGACGAGTACCTTGAAAAGAGAAAACCAAGTTCCTTTGTAGAAAGGAGGAACTTTTTTCCAAGAGTAATATGGGCCTTTGAAACAGCTCTGAATGACCTTTCTGACAGCGGTGGATACTTGAGTGTCGTGGTTGAACCTATTACATTGTAATAGATTAGTTGATGTGTTATAAATCTAAGAACAAATTCAATGGTTTTTAGAAAGAGATTACGTACCATTTGGCTCCATTTTCCCGAGAAGGATGCAGCATAGGTAAAACTGAACGATCCACAACTGCCTCTTCCATCTCTTCACAATACACACAAGAAAAGTCATAAGTTATCAATCTCCAAATCTGTCAAATGAAAACTTACAATTCTTACAAAAGCTAATGATTTTGTAATCTGTAGTCCTAGGTTCTCAGCCAAATATTAAAGTAACAAACCACCAATCAAAGACTCCGAGTAGTGAAAAAAAGAAAGCTTTGACCACAGACAATTGCGGATAGAAACTTTAATGAAGAAGACAAAACGAAATCCAGGAGTAAACACCAATCAATGATCAATAGGAAGGTGATCACAATGCAAACTGGAAAACCTCTAAATTAACGTAGAGATCAGTTCTAAGAATCCAGGAGTTGTAAAAATTACCTTCAGTTAGATCTCTGAACTGGAATACAAACTAGTTTCTGATATTTTGCGATGCACTAATAAAAAGGAAGTGATGGAACGGTTATATATATGAGGCGGCCTGAGATGGTTAATAAGTTTCACACGTTTTTGTGTCTCTCAATTAGTGGGGGAAATTTTCCCAAAATTTTGGCGGTCAAATGAAAATTTAACCGGACTCTGATTTTAGCATCGTGGTCAATTTCAATCCTAAGCCTAAAGTTATTACGAGGAAACAATCTACAAATCCAACAATTCTTTTCAATTAATGGTTAGTATACTACAATATGTTTAGATATGATTACTCAATTTCAAGATCCACAAAACCAGCTGAAATGTTAGAACATAGAAACTCAGAGATTCCAGAAACTATTAGTATCTCACCCAAAATCAATTTCAGACACATATATCACGACCCAACAATTGAAACAACAATACACATATCTACTAAACAAAATTGAATTAACAAAAATCAAACTGTATTGTACGAATTCTCTTTAGTTGAAATCAATTCACGGTTACCTTAAGAAAATCGTAAGAACGCTTTATAGAAGAAATGAATCTGACCTGTTTTTGTTTCCTGAACTCCAAAAACTGAGCTAATGAGCTGACAATCTGCAAGAGAAGCCCTCCTTAATCAATTTTGAATGAGTAATCTTGCTGTTGTATTACTTTTACTAATCACCTGCTGCAGCTCCTTGATTGTAGATGCCGTGAAGGACTCCGACCACCATTTATAGGGTGGAACCCCAAGGCAACTCAGCACCATTGGCTTGGCTCCAAAAAGGCTTCGATTTTCAGCTCCAATTACAATCTCCAAGTAACATATTGTTTTTTTTCAATATATTATTTTTGGTCGTTGTGAATATTCGGATTTTAGAAAGAAAAAAACCAACCAACGCTTGAGAACAATAATCTATGGCCACATATCGATTAAAGAGATTGAAACTCTTCATTTCGTGATGCAGCAGCATCTCACATTATTGTGTTACACATCACACATGATAATGTCATATGTGTCGCACATCATGACGCCGATTCCGTTTCTTTTAATTGTGATTTTAAGACTTTTATGTTAATTTTATATATTCTCTGTTATCTTTATTTCCTGTTTTTTGGTCTCTTTACTTAAGTGCTATTTTTGCTTCTTTGTAATTTAAACTTGAATAACGAGAGATTTTTCTTCAAACCTTGTTCTTGATTCGATTGAACTCATCAAGTCAGGAAGCAATTCTGTAGAGATTTTTTCGAATTTCTAGAGATTAAGCTAGGTTATACTTACGCCAGTTCGTCTCTCTAGGGTTTTAACCTCCGCCATGAAAACACGGCAGCAGAATAACGTCTCCGGGATTCGTCTTACTGACATCATGATCTGGCGCAATACGCGATCGAAGACCGCAGAGAACTCATCACTGCCGGTCCCAGTTGATGTCTTAATCGAGGTATTCTCAACCCTTCCGTTGAAGTCTATAGCGACGTGTCGTTGCGTGTCGAAGCTCTGGTACTCCATACTCCGCCGTCCAGATTTCACCGAGCTGTTCTTGAGCAGGTCTTGTTCCACAAGCCCTAAGCTATTGTTCGCATGCAAAAAAAACAGCGACGTGTTCTTCTTCACGTCACCTCAGCCTCAAAATCCGGATGAGAACTCGTCTCCTGTAGTGGCCAATTATCATACGAAGTTCTCCTTTCATGGCTTCCATGAAAATATTTACCATGTCCATGGCCTCGTCTCTCTTTTAGGTAATCGGATTTCAAAGGTAAAAGAAGAAAAATTGGCGGTGATATGTAACCCTAGCACCGGAGAATCCGTAATCTTACCCAAAGTGAAGACGAGGAGAGTTACGGTGAAGTGTTTGTTTGGTTATGATCCGATTGATAAACAATTCAAGGTATTGTCCATGACACAGCGATTATATGGAAGTTACGGCGATGATGAGTCGTGGGACCAACATCAAGTTCTGACATTAGGAACTGGAGGAAAACGGTCATGGAGAATGATAGAGTGTTCCATACCCAATCACTCTCTACGTAATCCGATTTGCATCAATGGTGTTTTGTATTATCTATCCACTAAACGGTCTACAAAGACTTGTGTGATAGTTTGCTTTGATGTTAGATCTGAGAATTTCCGCTTTATGGAAGCCAAGGGAGCTCTCAGTGGAGATTTGCTTAATGGAGGAACTCTGGTCAACTACAATGGTAAGTTAGGTTGTGTGGTTCACTCTGGACAGTCTGCATTGCATGTGAGAGTTGATGGAACAAGTACAAGTTTCAAGCTGTGGGTTTTAGAAGATGTCGAGAAACAAGAATGGTCTGAGCGTACTTACTTATTGCCTGCTTTGTGGAAGAATGTTATTGGAAATGCTGTGTTAAGCTTTGTTGGAGTGACTCGGACAAATGAGATTGTGTTCTCATCGTCCTATCCAGCATACCCTTTTTACCTTTTCTATCTTAATCTCGAGAGGAACAGTATCGTGAGAGTTGAAATCCAAGGAATGGATACGTCTAACTGTCCCGTATATTTCACTTCTATAGACCATGTAGAGAATGTGGAGCTATATGGTAAGTGTTTAGACTTTCACTTCTATAGTACATACTTTGAGACTTTTGTTTCGCGTTAGCTTTTAGTTATGATTTTTTTTTTTTTTTTTTTGGCTTTGTACTCTATTCTCTAATGACACAGTTATAACATGCATGACAACTTTTGAATGCTTTGTCTTTAAGTCTTAACAAGTTGTGTGGCACAATCACACTTGTCTTTACTTCTTCCTCAAAGACCAAACCAAAAATTTTCCACTAAAACTGGAAATGTATTCTTGGAATCATCTTCGCTTCCTCAGATTTTTCAAGAAGCGATTAGGAGAGATCAATCTGTAAAAGTCAATGTTTCTTTGCATCAGAACGCGAAGCAAAGCAGAGGAAAAGACTTACAGAATGCAGATTGACTTTTGCGAAGCTGCCACTTCTCGGTCAGGAAAAGAATCATCTAGCCTTAACCTTAACCATACGTAAAAATCAAGCACCTGTTCAGTTATGATGCACATAAAAAAAAAACATAGTCAGAGTCTGTTGGTTTTTTTTTTCTTCTTTTTTGACAACGGACAAATCAGAGTCTAGTTAGACTAACAAATCCAAACTTTTTTTTCTCTTGATTTCAGTTAAGATCAAAAGTCTCCATCAAAAACTTATAGTGCAGTTTTTAATATGCATCTAAAAAATTCAGGATCGCGACATATGTCATTTTTAAGTTTATGTCCGTTAAGATCGTGACAAGTGTCTTAGGAAATAATGAGAACTTGAAAAAAAAAATTCCAGAAAAATGTTAATTAAAAAAAAAAGAAATTTAATTTAATCTATTATATCAAAAAGGAAAAATAATGTTTGCCAAATCCAAATAGAAAAAGGTTTCCCATTCATCAATTTTTTATTATATAAAGTTGGATGCTCACGACGTGGTTGCGACACATAGGATTTTTATAATTTATAAGATCGCGACATGTGTCACTTCTAATGTTACGTCCGTTAAGATCGTGACACATGTCTTAGAGAAAAAAAAAGAAAAAAAAAGAATAGTAATAAAAAAATTAGATAAAGGAATTTTTTTAAAAAAAAATAATCCATTACAGTTAAAAAAAATAAAAATATATTTTTCATATCCTAATAGAGAAAGGTTTCCCATTCATCAAATTAATATTATCCAAACAAATAATAAAATCAAAATAATGTAATAAATAAAATCCTATTTGTAAATGAAATATGTTATGTAAACTAAATTTCCTATAACTGCATGTAATAGGTTTTTTGAACCCCTATAAAAGATAATCAATTTTTTTCAATCATAAATTCATCAAATCCCTTTGATTCTAGTTCTCCAATTTAAAAATCATGTTTTTTAAAGTTTTGCGATACATAAGATTTTATAACTGACAAAATTACGACATGTATTTTAGCAAAAAAATAAAATTCTGGAAGTATGAAGATCGTAATATGTGTCATGGAATAAAAAAATAAAATAATATGTATAAGACTAACTAAAAATTATAATAACATATAATAAATAATTAAAATGAAAAAAATAATACATCCATTAAAAGTAATAAAAAAAACAGGAAACAAATAATTTAAATTCTTTTGTTACATCTATTAAGAAAAGGTAAACAAATCCATTACGAAAAGGAAAAATACCAATATATAGTATTTCACTATTTCTAATGGTCTGAGGCAAAAACAAAATTGAGAAAGAAAAAATAAAAATAGAAAACTAACAAAATATATATAACTATACATTATATATACCTAAAAAAAATTATTAAACTATGAATTTAAGTTTATCTCTAACTTTTTATTATATAAAAACTCATAATGCAAATTTTAAACACATGTAAAACTGTTAAACATATTCTAAACACATTATTTTCAACTTCATTAAATTTTATTATGTATAAAATTTTATGAAGCTAATAATATACATTTTATTACAATATCCAAAAGATTTAATGGTAATTTCAAATTTATATAAGTCATATTAATTATTTTAAATTCTTAATACATTATTATATGGAGAATAATTTTCGAAGATTATAAAATTTAGAAAATTCTAAATATTGAATTTATTCATAAAGTAATATCTCTATAAGATAATAAGTTTTCAAAGTCCCAACATTACGTTTTACTGTATGTTTGATTGATGATAATGCTTATATTGCATCTGAGAGCATATGTCCTAACAAAATGAGTAAGAGAAATAAATTAAATGGCTCTCTATAACAAATGACACAGTTATAAAATTACATGACAACTTCTTTTGAATGCTTCTTTTATCAAGTTGTGGCACAATCACTTGTCCTTAACCATTCTTCCTCAGTGACCAAACCAACGAGCAGAAGAGGAACATTTGTCCAACCAAAACGGGAAATGTATTCTAAGAACCATCGTCACCTCTTTCGATCTTACAATCAACGTGGGTTATTTTCTTTTGTTTTATGTTTTATAATGACGGTATCACATAAAACTAAACGAGATTATTAGTAAATTAAACGTGGTCGTCATTTGTTTTATAGTTTTATAGATAGTAACATGGGTTACTAATGGGAGAATCTAGCTGTCCCTTTCGCCCACTCCACTTTCTCTCCTCTCGTACATCAATCAATAATTACGATCATATTGAGATATACTCAACTCAAACCTTAAAAGCTCTCAGAAAAAGGTTTGCTCAATAATGTTTTCAGACGAAAAAAAAAACAAACACAAACTATGGATTAGTCTTGGTGTTGTGCTTCTTCTGCTTCGTATTCGTTGAAGTCGTAAGATTTGCAAAGCCTTATTACGACCTCAAACAAGACATCTTAACCGAGACAGACGCAACAATAACAGAAGCATTTGTTACATCTGAAAGCATGTCATGCCTCGATGAAATGGTTTAGAAAAATAAATTAAATGTTTCTACTGTTAATTACACCGTTATAACATACATGACAACTTTTGAATTGCTTTGTCTTAACAAGTATCTTAATCCCATCAAAAACTCATAGTGCAGTTTTTTATATGCATCTAAAATTGTAAAAAAAATTTAGATTTGTTTCATGTGTAAGTACATTCATAAGTATCATTGTATTATTTTTATCATCATCAACAATATATAAGCATTTTTTAAAAAAAAATTAGTGATTTCTTTATTTTGTTTGACAAAAAGATATCTTATTATATAAAGCTGGATGCGCACAACGTGGTTGCGACACGTAGGATTTTTATAAAATATAGGATTGCGACATGTGTCACTTTTAATGTTATGTCCGTTAAGATCGTGACATGTGTCTTAGAAAAAAAGAAAAAAAATAATAATTAAAAAATTAGATAAAGGAAAAAAAACGAAATTTTAATCTTTTATAGTTAAAAGAAAAAAAATATATTTGTCATATCCTAATAGAAAAAGGTTTCTCATTCATCAAATTTATATTATCCAAACACATATAAGATTCAAATTAATGAAATAAATAAAATCCTATTAGTACATGAAATAGGTTAGGTTTAGTTAATCTTTTATAGTTAAAAGAAAAAAAAATTATATTTGTCATATCCTAATAGAAAAAGGTTTCTCATTCATCAAATTTATATTATCCAAACACATATAAGATTCAAATTAATGAAATAAATAAAATCCTATTAGTACATGAAATAGGTTAGGTAAACTAAATTTCCTATAACTGCATGGAATAAGTTACATGAACCCTTATAAAAAGAGAGTTAAAGTAGTCTTTTTTTTCTCATTCACAAACTCATCAAAGCAAACAACATGATAGCAATACGTATGATTTTTATAACTCACAAAATTGCGATATGTGTAATAAAATAATGATAATAAAAAAACTAACTAATAATGAAAATGAAAATTTATAATGGTCTGAGTCAAAAACAAAATTGAGAAAGAAACAATATAAATAGAAAACTAACAAATTAATTATCAAGCAACTAACTAATATTAAGAAAATATAATGAACCGATATTCTAATTTTAAATAGTTTAATATATTTTCAATATTGTTAGGTAAAAAATTATTAAATAAAGATTTCATCAATTGAAATCTCTTGAATGGAATAATAAAGTTTTGTTGAATTAATTAATCAGTTGATCATATTTAGACATATATAAGTCTTTCTATATTGGATAAAAATAAAAATAAAACAAATTAATTCATTTTTTATATCATGAATTCAAAAAAATATCAATTACAATAAAAACGTAAAAAGGTTACCGATCTTATTTTATTTAAATATTTTTATCGGGTTTTTAATATTATTCTGTTTACTTTAAAATGATCAAATTTGGTTTAATACTTTTCCATGATTTTATTACAAAATCTTAAAATAAACCCGCGTATACGCGGGTCTTAATCTAGTCCTTTATATTTATATATCACAAATATTCATATCAATAATATATTAATGTTGGCAAAAAAACAAAAAGGTTGTAACTTTTAGAGAACATATTCATGTCCTAAAAAGACTAGTTACTTTTTTAATAAATAATAAATGATATGGATATTTTATATAAAATTGTTTTTTTTGTAGAAAACAACAGAAAATAATATGTTCACTACATGAAATTAGTCAGAAGACGTACAGATGTTAACATCGGTTTAAAAACCGATGTGGACACTTATTTTTGAGTTTGAAGGCAAAGTATAGACTATAGAGTGCATTAAAAGGCCCATTAACCTTTTGTTTTCTCGTGATTTCCGAGGACAAAATTCCAGTTCTCTTTCTTTTTAAGTGTCGATTCCAATTTCCAAACTTCAATTCCATTTTGACTTTCAATTGTGATTTCATCTCTCCAAATTCTCAAAGCAGAGCTCGTAGCAACCTTATTTCTCGGACTTTTAACCTCCGCCAATGAAAACACGGCGGCAGAATAGCGTCTCCGGTGATCGTCTTCCCATCACCACCCAGCGTAACAAGCGATCTAAGACCTCAGGGAACTCCTCCTCATCGCCGATCCCAATTGATGTCCTGATCGAGATATTCCGGATCCTTCCGGTGAAGTCAATAGCGACATGTCGTTGCGTGTCGAAGCTCTGGTACTCCACACTCCGCCGTCCAGATTTCACCGAGCTGTTCTTGAGCAGGTCTTGTTCCACAAGCCCTAAGCTATTGTTCGCATGCATAAAGAACAGAGACGTGTTCTTCTTCACGTTACCTCAGCCTCAAAATCCGGATGAGAAGTCGCCTTCTGTACTAGTCGCCGATTACCATATGAAGTTCTCCTTTAATGTTCCCTATGACATCAGTTATGGTCTCAATGGTCTTTTCTGTCTTTTGAGTAAGCGATTCTCAAAGGGGATGGAAGAAATAGGGCCGGTGATATGGAACCCTAGCACCGGAGAATCCGTAATCTTACCCGAAGTGAAGGCGAGGAAAGTTACGGTGAAGTGTTTGTTTGGTTATGATCCGATTGATAAACAATTCAAGATATTGTGCATGACAAAGCAATTATATGGAAGTCTCGACGATGAGGCGTGGGAGCAACAACAAGTTCTGACATTAGTAAAACAAAAAATGTCATGGAGAATGATAGAGTGTTCCATACCCATTTACACTGTGCATAATCCGATTTGCATCAATGGTGTTTTGTCTTTTATATCCATTAAACGGTTTACAAAGACTTGTGTGATAGTTTGCTTTGATGTTAGATTAGAGAGTTTCAGCTCTATGGAAGCCAAGGGAGCTCTCAATGGAGCATTGCTTAATGGAGGAACTCTTGTAAACTACAATGGCAAGTTAGGTTGTGTGGTTAACTCTGAGCAGAATGGAATGCATCTGAGATTTGATGGAACATGTAGAAGTTTGAAGCTGTGGGTTCGTGAAGATGTAGAGAAAGAGGAATGGTCTGAGCGTATATACTTATTGCCTGCTATGTGGAGGAATGTAGTTAGAAATGCTGTGTTAAGCTTTGTTGGAGTGACTCGGACAAATGAGATTGTGTTCTCGTCGTACGATCCAGCATACTCTTTTTACCTTTACTATCTTAATCTCGAGAGGAACACTGTCGTAAGAGTTGAAATCCAAGGAATGGATACGTCTAACTGTTGGGTATATTTCACTTGTTTAGACCATGTAGAGGATGTGAAGCTTTATGGTAAGTGTTTAGCTACTTTATAACTTGAATGACTTTTGTTTGGCTTTAGCTTTAAGTTATGTATATATTTTTTTTGGGCTTTGTACCCTGCTATCGTTTGAAGCAAGCAAACGTGATTTCCTTGTAAGAAGTTGTCAAAAAATCTGTAAAATTCAATGTTTGTTTGCATCAGAACGTGAAGCAGAGCAGAGGAAAGAAGATTGCGGTTCTCTCGAAATTCTAGCCACTTACAAATTGCAGATTGACTTTTGCGAATTAATCCTGTCTGACATTAAGCTTAACCATACGTACGGATCCAAAACCTGTCCTATCGTAAACAATATTTAGACTAACAAAATCCAAACATTTTCTCTTCACCATAATACAATTTGGTGATATTAATTAGACTTGCTAGATGCAAATGTAGAATTCTTTGAATCACTATACACGAGATAGGAATTAAGGTAGGTAGATGTTAAATATTGCGCCACGTATCTCCGTTGTGTCTAATGTCCTATTGTTTGTCTGAGCACTATTTTCACTTAATTTCTTTAAACTGTTATTTGTCACAATAAGATATTGTGAAGTATGATTTTTTAAACATACTTGTATTGTTGTTGGTTAAACATCTAACTATTTAACATTTTCTTGTTTCGCAGTTTGAGCTGGACTTTCCGAGTGAATACATCACAGCAGTGGATGGTTGTTTCGACAAAGTGATTGGAAGTGAAAGTGGAGTTATAACCATATCCTTAAGTTCAAGACCAACAAGCGAACCTCTCCCCCTTTTGGACTTGAATCGACCTCAAGCTTCCTCATTGAGAAGGAAGGTTACAAAATCGTAGGTTTCCATGGAAAAGCTAGTCACGAGGTTCACCAACTTGGAGCCCATGTTGTGCCCATCACCCTGTGATATTTGGTCAATGTTATATGAGTTACATTGACCAACTCTTATCATCTACCAAGTTTGATCATGTTTTTACTGTTTTCATCTCTTGTTGTCTTTTCTGTTTTCATTGCTCTTGTTGTCATTTCTGTTTTCATATCTTTTTCTCTTATAATTTGATGTTGTCTATTATCTTGTTTTAATGCTTGTTGTTTGACATGTCGTTCAGCTCCGCAATGTCATGTAATAGGGCAGTGATTTTCAATCCGATTTCAACATTTCAATTTATATTTATAAAAGAAAGCATGTGTCATTTTGACTTAAGGAGTGACCTCTTTTAAATCATAATATTTGATGTTTTGGTAATTTTGTTCGTTTCAAAATGAACAATGTTTATAATCAATTGGAAACTGATATTCAAACTATGAATTATATTTAAGTCCTCGAATGGACTAACTAATTCAGATAATTTCAGAGGGTCTCCTAATTCTTAAATGGACTTACCTTAATGTTCTTGCATCCGCTTATGCTCTTGTCCTTCGGGTATATATGATCAAACACCCTCTTTCAAGTGCTTGTGCTATTTTCCTCTCTGTTTTTTTTTTTTTTTTTTTTTTTTAATCTCCCTTGAATGATTATAAATCTCACTATTTTCTTATTCCAGCTTATTGCACTGGTCTCCTTTTGGCAGTAAACAGATAGCCTATGGACATTTGAAAATTACTACTTTTAGTCAATATTCATTAAAATCATATCATACTTATATATTTATAAGTTCTACAAATCAAAATTCTCTTGATAAATATTCTTTTCATACTAATACATATATATCTAATAAATAAAATTGTAATATAAATTTAATTTTCACATTAAATATATATTTTGAAAATAAAATCACATTTTTATTTAAATTATAGAAATTAAAAGATAGAAGTAAGTATTATACACATATTATTCTTATAAAAAATATTTTTAATTATGTTGAACCATAAATTTAAAATTTTCATTATAATATAGTTTTGATATTTTTATAATTATATAATGTGTTTATATTATTAATTTATTGTTTAACCGCTATTGCATCCGCAAGTGAACCAATCATAAGTATCCCGCAAACGCATCCATTTTCAATTGTTATGAAAATCGTACAAACCGCTTAATAACGCTACTAATCACAACTGTCCGCTTCCGCAAACTCCCGCACCCGCAACCACAACCGCAGCGATTAAACCAGTCAGGCCCTAAGTATGATATGATTTTAATGAATATTTGCTAAAAGTACTAATTTTTTTATATTTATATTGTGATTTTATTATCCAAGTCTTATTTATTTAAAAAATATTATTATTTATTTTCCGATTTTATATAAGTTTGTGTTTTTTTTTTAATATCCACCCGCAACCGCAAACGCTGCTGGGAAGGAGCTTTTGATATTGAGGGATGTTGAGGGATCTTGAGCGGTTTGAAGCGGTATAAAGCGTTTGCAGTGATTGTTGTCAAACGCCAATAACCGCTACTACCCGCAAACGCAACGTTTGCGGGTAACAGCGGGTGAACCAATCAACACCTTATATATTTTATAAGTTCTACAAATCAAAATTCTATGATAAATATTCTTTGCATACTAATACATATATATATCTAATAAATAAAATTGTAATATAAATTTAATGTGATATTTTGAAAATAAAATCACATTTTTTAATTAAATTATAGAAATTAAAAGATAGAAGTAAGTATTATACACATATTATTCTTTATAAATTTTTTATTTTTAATTATGTTGAACCATAAATTTAAAATTTTCATTATAATATTTTTGATATTTTTATAATTATATAATGTGTTTATATTATTAATTTATTGTTTAACCGCTATTGTATCCGCAAGTGAACCAGTCATAAGTATCATGCAAACACATCCATTTTCAATTTTTATGCCAGTCGTACAAACCGCTTAATAATGCTACTAATCACAACCGCCTGCTTCCGCAAACTCCCGCACCCGCAACCGCAACCGCATCAATTAAACCAATGATTTGGGAGAATATAAATATTTTTTCAAATCACCTCTTATTGGATCTAGTAGTTATAATTATTCTAAATCCAAGGTTATTGGATTAATTATTTATATAAATTCTTTAAAATCCCACCTTTGGAAAATTGATATTTCATCAATAACATATATCAAAAACTGTTTTGAAGAATTTGTGAGATAATTTCTAGTTCAAAACAAATATATCCAAATACCACCTAATGAGGTGTGATTTGAAAAAAATAAACATTTGATAAGAAAATTAATCAATCAATTAGTGCGAAATTAATCAATTAGTGCAAATTTTTTATGTTTGGTATGGATCATCTCTACATGGTCTCGACCTCCTCTTCACTGGGTAAAGTGTAATTTAATGCTGGATATAAGAACTTCATTAACAAGACATGCGTAAGTATTTGGCTATTTGGGCATGGCTAAGTTTGGGGTTCTACTGTTTTAGGTGAATCTATTTCACCTTTGAATACAAGGCAAAGCTAAGTCTCCTGATAGCTATTCAAAGTACTCGTTTTATTGGGTATCAAAAGTTACTTTTGAAAGGGATTGCCAACTATTCAATCGCCAAGTTAAACAATTAAGAAATTTATTATTTTTTCGCTTTCTAAATATCCTGAAATCCCACACAATCATTTTAAATTTTCTAACAGTATATTTGCAAATCTTCTAAAATCTCAAAAATCCTAAGAATCTTAAATTTAGTTTATATCCAAATCCTCTTAAACAAACCACAGTGATAAAATATATGAAAACCCTAAAAATAACGAGTGTACAAATAAGTTTTCTTGGGTAGAAGTCACGGTGGTGTTGACTCGTCTCTCTAGGGTTTTAACTTTTAACCTCCAAAATGAGATGTCAAAAGAAGAAGAAAAAAACCTCCGCCAAGAAAACACGGCGGCAGAACCGGCGCGATACGCAATCGGAGACCTCAGAGAACTCCTATTCACCGTCGATCCCAGTTGATGTCCTGATCGAGATATTCTTGACGCTATCGGTGAAGTCTATAGCGACATGTCGTTGCGTATCGAAGCTCTGGTGCTCCACACTCCGCCGTCAAGATTTCACCGAGTTGTTCTTAAGCAGCTCTTATTCCAGAAGCCCGAAACTATTGTTCGCATGCATAAAATACGGTGACTTGCTCTTCTTCTCATCAACTCAACCTCAAAATCCGGATGAGAACTCGTCTCCTGTAGTCGCTAGTCGCCATGTGAAGTTCTCCTTTAATGTTTCCATTGACATGAATGACATCAGTTTTGGTGTCCATGGCTTCGTCTGTCTTTTAAGTTACCGAATCTCAAGGGGAAATAAGGAAATAGCGCCGGTGTTATGGAACTCTAGCACCGGACAAGTTGTATTCTTATCCAAAGTGATGACGAGGAAAGGAGATACGGTGAAGTGCTTCTTAGGTTATGATCCGATTGGTAAAAAATTCAAGGCACTGTCCATGAAAAAGCAAGTAGGCGATGTGTCGTGGGACCAACATCAAGTTCTGACAGTAGGAACTGGAGGAAAATCGACCTGGTCGTGGAGAACGATCGAGTGTTCCATACCCCACCATTACGCTCTAACGGAACCGATTTGCATCAATGGTGTTTTGTATTACATTTCTACTAAATGGTCTACAAAGACTTGTGTAATAGTGTGCTTTGATGTTAGATCTGAGAGTTTCAGCTGTATGAAAGCCAAGGGAGCTCTCAATGAAGCATTGCTTAATGGAGGAACTCTGGTAAACTATAATGGCAAGTTAGGCTGTGTGGTTCAGTCTGGACTGTATGCATTGCGTGTGAGATTTGATGGAAAAAGTAAGAGTTTCAAGCTGTGGGTACTAGAAGATGTGGAGAAACAGGAATGGTCTGAGCGTATATACATATTTCCTGCTGTGTGGAAGAACGTAGTCGGAGAATATGATTTAAGCTTTGTTGGAGTGACTCGGACAAATGAGATTGTGTTCTCGCCGTTGTCTCCAGCATACCCTTTTTACCTTTACTATCTTAATCTCGAGAGGAACACTGTCGTAAGAGTTAGAATCCAAGGATTGGATACGTCCAACTGTGACCTATGTTTCACTTCTCTAAACCATCTAGAGGATGTGAAGCTCTATGGTAAGTGTTAGGTACTTGATAACTTGAGTCTTAGCTTAAGTTATTTATTTATTATTTTTTTTTTTTGGGCTTTGTACTCTATTATCGTTTGAAGCAAGCATCTTTAGTTTTGAACCATATCCCGAAGTAATAATAGTAGTCTTTTACTCTTTTATCTATTATGGAATGCTTCATCTGATTCTCAAATTCGCTTAACGAATTGTATTTCAATTCTCAGCTGCTTGTGGTATGTTAGATGTGTACGATTGATGGGTAATAATGCTTTGTTTGCCTTACGAAAAGATTAAGAGAAATAAACTAAATGGTGCAATAACACAGTTATAAAATTACATGACAACATCTTTTGAATGCTTCTTATAAACCTATATATCTATAGTTAGTCTCATATTGAGATATACTCAACTCAGACCTTAAAAACTCATAGAAAAAGAAAAATGTTTGCAGACGAAACGAAGAGAAACACAAACTATGGTTCAGTCTTTGTGATGTACTTCTTCTGCTTCGTATTCGTTGCAAAAGTAACCAATCACAAAAGCATTTGTTACATCTGAAAGCATGTCAAATGGTTAAGAAAAATAAATGAAATGGTTCTCTATTGGTTAATGACACAGTTATAAAGTACATGACAATTTATGAATGCTTCTTTTAACAAGTTGTGTGGCACAATAAACTGGTCTTTACTTCTTCCTTAAAGACTAAACCAACCAGCAGAGGAAGAAGAAACATTATCCAATCAAACCGGAAACGTATACTCAGAATCACTTCCTCGGATTTTTCGAGAAGAGTGATGAAGAGATCAATCTATTTCCCTCTAAGAATTTCTCAATCAATCTGTAAAGTAGAAAATTCAATGTTTATTGCATCAGAAAGCGAAGCAAAGCAGAGGAAAAGACTTGCGGTTTGTTTATCTACTTACAAATTGCAGATTGACTTTTGCGAAGCTGCAACTTCTCTGTCAGGAAAAGAATCTTCTAGCCTTAAGCTTTAACCATATACATACAGATCCAAAACCTGTTCAATCGTCATGCAAATAAATATATTCAGACCTCTAGCCGACTAACAAATCCAAACATTTTCTCTTGGTTGCGGTTGACATAACACCTAAGATCAAGATGTAATCAAAACCCTATGTATTGCATATGAGCTTTCAAGGTTCTGTTTTTAGCTCAAAGTCTTGATAGTAACCACTCACAGGAGAAGAAAGATGTGTTACTGTTACCTTGCGAAGGGATTCAAGTTCCTTGAAAATAATATCTTATTATTTATTGTTTAACTATATATCTTATTGTAAAATGCTTATTACAGAATCATTTCATGACTATTATCCTTTATTATACACAGTTGAACTGAAAGTATTTATATTATTCAAAGAAATTTTTTATCGGATTTTTAATATTGTTTTAATTACTTTTAAGAGTAAATTATTTCAAAAATCTTAAAACAAATCCCATATTAGCCTTATCTAGTCTTTACATATATAAAGTTGGATGTGCGCGATATGGTTGCAATACGTACAAATTTTATAACTCATAGAATCGTGATATGTGTTAATTTTAGTTCTAAAGAGATCTTAACATGTGTTTTAGAAAAAGAAAAAGAAAACAAAATAATTAAAAAAGTGTTAAAAAGAGTAAAAAAAGTTATATTTACCATATTTTAAGATAAAAGGTTTTATATATTAACGAAGAAAGAAAAAAAAAATCTTATACATCTTACGTACAAAAGCTTATATAATTGTGTACTTCAATCTTTTTTTTCCTCTCTTTTATTGTGTACTTCCCATCTTGTTTATCTTCTCTCTAATAAAATAAAAAATCATGTCTCCAAAAGTTGAAGAAAGCAAGAATTAATTGTTTCCTAGGCCGTTTAATCGGCTACGTTTCTTAGAGGTGAATAGAAGGTGGAAGAAGTCTCTCTAAGTTTTAACTTGTTACCACCGCCATGAAAACACGGCGGCAGAATAGCGTCTCCGGGGATCCTCTTCCCATCATCACCCGGCGCAATACACGATCGAAGACCGCAGAGAACTCATCATGGCCGATCCCAATTGATGTCATAATCGAGATATTCTCGACCCTTCCGTTGGAGTCTATAGCGACATGTCGTTGCGTGTCGAAGCTCTGGTACTCCACCCTCCGCCGTCCAGATTTCACCGAGCTGTTCTTGAGAAGGTCTTGTTCCACAAGCCATAAGCTATTGTTCGCATGAACAAAAAACAGTGACTTGCTCTTCTTCTCGTCACCTCAGCCTCAAAATCCGGATGAGAACTCGTCTTCTGTAGTGGCCAATATCAAGTTCTCCGTTCATGGTTCCCGTGGAGATATTGACTATGTCCATGGGCTTGTCTCTCTTCTATGTAATCAGAACTCAAGGGGAAAAGAGGAAACATTGGCGGTGATATGTAACCCTAGCACCCGAGAATCTGTAATCTTACCCAAAGTGAAGATGATGAGAGGAGCTAGGGTGAAGTGCTTGTTAGGTTATGATCCGATTGATAAACAATTCAAGGTATTGTCCATGACAAAGGGAGATTATAGACTCGGTGTGTCGTGGGAGAAACATCAAGTTCTGACATTAGGAACAGGAGGAAAACCGTCATGGAGAAAGATCGAGTGTCCATACCCCATTATACTCTGATGGCACCGATTTGCATCAATGGTGTTCTGTATTATACATCTATTAAATGGTCTACAAAGACTTGTGTAATAGTGTGCTTTGATGTTAGATCCGAGAGTTTCAGCTCTATGGAAGCCAAGGGAGCTCTCAGTGGAGCGTTGCTTAATGGAGGAGCTCTGGTAAACTACAATGGTAAGTTAGGTTGTGCGGCTAACTCTGAGCAGAATGAATGGCGTGTGATATTTGATCGAACAAGTACAAGTTTGATGCTGTGGGTAGTAGAAGATGTCGAGAAACAGGAATGGTCTGAGCGTATATACGTATTGCCTGCTGTGTGGAAGGACGTAGTTGGAGAAAATGATAAGTTAATCTTTGTTGGAGTGACTCGGACAAATGAGATTGCGTTCTCGTCGTCCTATCAAACAAACCCTTATTACCTTTACTATCTTAATCTTGAGAGAAACACTGTTGTAAGAGTTGAAATCCGAGGAATGGATACGTTTAAGTGTTGGGTATATTGCACCTCTCTAGACCATGTAGAGGATGTGAAGCTCTATGGCAAGTGTTTAGGTACTTCATAACTTGAGACTTTTGTTTGGCTTTAGCTTTAACGTATGTTTTTTTTTTTTTTTTTTGCTTTGTACTCTGTTCTCGTTTGAAGCACAAAGAAAAAGAGACGAGAAAGAAGAGAAACACAAACTATGGATCAGTCTTTGTGTTGTGCTTCTGAAAGCATGTCAAATGGTTCAGAAAAATAAATTAAATGGTTCTCTATTGTTAATGACACAGTTATAAAGTACATGACAACTTTTGAATTCTTCTTTTAACAAGTTGTGTGGCACAATCACACTACTTCTTCCTTTAAAGACCAAACCAACGAGCAGAAGATGAAGAAACATTATCCAATCAAACTGGAAAAGTATACTCAGAATCATCGTCGCCGGATGAAGAGATCAATCTATTTCCCTCTAAGAACTGCTCAATCAATCTGTAAAGTAGAGAATTCAATGTTTCTTTGCACCAGAAAGCTAAATAAAGCAAAGGAAAAGACTTGCGGTTTATCTACTTACAAATTGCAGATTGACTTTTGCGAAGCTGCCACTTCTCTTTCAGGAAAAGAATTCTCTAGCCTTAAGCTTAACCATACGTACAAATCAAGAACCTGTTCAATCGTTAAACATATTTTAGACCTAACAAAATCCAAACATTTGGAATTAATGGAACGCTTAAGATCAGATTTACAACCCTCATCTATTGACCAATAAGTTTTTGGGAAAATTTCAAAACTACACTTTATTGAATGTACATTTTCAAAATTACACCAACTACACTTTTTTTTTTGAGTAAAACAACCCCAAGAAGTGTATTTCTTAAAAAAAATTGTAAGTTTTTTTGTGGTACAACAGTACAAGTAACAGTGGTGTTGGCTCGTGTCTCTAGGGTTTTAACTTTTAACCTCCACCATGAAAACACGGCAGCAGAATAGCGTCTCCGGTGATAGTCTTCCCATCATCACCCCGCGCAATACGCAATCGAAGACCTCAGAGAAGTCCTCCTCATCGGCGATCCCAGTTGATATCCTGATCGAGATATTCTCGACGCTTTCGGTGAAGTCTATAGCGACATGTCGTTGCGTATCGAAGCTTTGGTACTCCACACTCCACCGTTCAGATTTCACCGAGCTGATCTTGAGAAGGTCTTGTTCCACAAGCCCTAAGCTATTGTTCGCATGCAGAAAAAAAAGAGACGTCTTCTTCTTCACGTCACCTCAGCCTCAAAATCCAGATGAGAAGTCGTCTCCTGTAGTCGCCAGTTGCCATATGACGTTCACCTTTAATGACATCAATGACATCAGTTATGGTGTCCATGGCCTTGTCTGTCTTTTGAGTAACCGAATCTCAAAGGGAAAAGAGGAGATAGCGCCGTTGATATGGAACCCTAGCACCGGGGAATCGGGAATCTTACCCAAGGTGGAGACGAGGAGAGGAGCTACGGTGAATTTCTTGCTTGGTTATGATCCGATTGATAAACAATTCAAGGTACTGTGCATGACAAAGCGAAGGCCATTATATCGAAGTCACCGGGACCAACATCAAGTTCTGACATTAGGAACAGGAGGAAAAATAAATTGGTCATGGAGAAGGATCGAGTGTTCCATACCCAGTTACGCTCTAATTAAACCGATCTGCATCAATGGTGTTGTGTATTATATATCTATTAAACGGTCTAAAGGGACTTGTGTCGTAGTTTGCTTTGATGTTAGATCAGAGAGTTTCAGCTTTATGAAAGCCACGGGGGCTCTCAATGGAGCATTGCTTAATGGAGGAACTCTGGTAAACTATAATGGTAAATTTGGTGTGGCTCAGTCTCTATTTTCTGAAAAAAGTAAAAGTTTGAAGTTGTGGGTTTTAGAACATGTGGAGAAAGAGGAATGGTCTGAGCGTATATACGTATTGCCTGCTTTGTGGAAGGACGTAGTTGGAAAATCTGAGTTACGCTGTGTTGGAGTGACTCGGACAAATGAGATTGTGTTCTCGTCGTACGATCGAGAATACTCTTTTTACCTTTACTATCTTAATCTGGAGAGGAACACTGTCGTAAGAGTTGAAATCCAAGGAATGAATATGTCTAAGTCTAAGTGTTGGGTATACTTCACTTGTCTAGACCATGTAGAGGATGTGAAGCTCTATCGTAAGTGTTTTTAGGTTCTTAATAACTTGAGTCTTTGTTTGGCTTTAGCTAAAGTTATGTTTTTTTTTTGGCTTTGTACTCTATTATCGTTTGAAGCAAGCAACTTTAGTTGTGAACCATCTCGCTAAGTAAAAACACTAATAGTCTATCTATTATGGAGTGCTTCTTATGATTCTCATATTCGCTTATAAACGAATTGTATTTCAATTCTCAGCTGCTTATGTTATATATGTATGACTGATTGGTGATAATGCTTAACGAAAAGATTAAGAGAAGTAAACTAAATGGTTTAATGACACACAGTTATAAAATTACATGACAACTTCTTTTGAATGCTTCTTCTTACAAGGTTATATATATATAATAATTAGGCTCATATTGAGATGTACACAAACTCAAACCTTAAAAACTCTCAGAAAAAGAAAAATAAAAATGTTTTGCAGACGAGAAGAAGAGAAACACAAACTATGGATCAGTCTTTGTGTTGTGCTTCTTCTGCTTCGTATTCGTTGCAGAAGTAACAATAACAGAAACATTTGTTACATCTGAAAGCATTTCAAATGGTAAAGAAAAAATAAATTAAATGGTTCTCTATTAATGTTAATGACACAGTTATAAAGTACATGACAACTTTTTAATGCTTCTTTTAACAAGTTGTGTGGCACAATAAACTGGTCTTTACTTCTTCCAAAAGACCAAACCAACCAGCAGAGGAAGAGAAACATTCTCCAATCAAACCGGAAACGTATACTCAGAATCACTTCCTCTGATTTTTCGAGAAGAGTGATGAAGAGATCAATCTATTTCCCTCTAAGAACTGCTCAATCAAAGTAGAGAATTCAATGTTTCTTTGCATCAGAAAGCGAAGCAAAGCAGAGGAAAATACTTGCGGTTTGTTAATCTACTTACAAATTTCAGATTGACTTTTGCGAAGCTGCCACTTCTCTGTCAGGAAAAGAATCTTCTAGCCTTAAGCTTAATTATACATACAGATCCCAAACCGTTCAATCGTCATGCAATATTTTATTATTTATTGTTGAACTATATATCTTATTGTAAAATGCTTATTAGATAATCATTTCATGACTATTATCCTTTATTATATAGTTGAACTGAAAGTATTTATGTTATTCAAATAATTTTTTTATGGGATCTTTAATATTATTTTAATTACTTTTAAGAGTAAATTATTTCAAAAATCTTAAAACAAAACCCGCATTGGCCTTATCTAGTTTTAAATATATAAAGCCGGATGCGTGCGATATGGTTACAATACGTATGAAGTTTATGGATTTGAATGGCGACACTACAAATAGTAAATGCATTACAAAAAATTGAAGCATTATGATCATAGAGTTGTACAAACTATTGTATTACATAACATTCATATTATGGACTTTTCAATGTATCAGTACTTTTTTAGTTGTACCATCATTTTGTAGTGTTTTGTAACATTGTGTTTGTACTACTACTTTTGTACTACTAGTTTGTAACTTATAGTGATTGGTTACATAGAAGATATTACATTTTGTACCATCATCAAAATATGCTACCAATCAAAGCCTATAACTTATAGAATCGCGATATGTGTCAGTTTTAGTTTTAAAGAGATCTTGACATGTGTCTTAGAAAAGAAAAAGAAAAAAAAAGTGTTAGAAAACGAAAAATTTATATTTACCATATTTTAATGAAAAAAGGTGAATAATATAAAAGGTACTAAAAAAAGGAAAAAAAAACATATTTACCATATTCTAATGAAAAAAATGAAAATAGTATTTTTGCATGCCTCATATATTTTAAGATAAGAAGGTTTTATATATTAACGAAAAAGGAAAAACAAAATATTTTATGTCTTACAAAACCTAATATAATTGTGTACTTCCATCTCTTTTTTCCTCTCTTTTATTGTGTACTTCCATCTTGTTTTTCTTCTCTCTCTATTAAAAAATCATGTCTTCAAAAGGTGAAGAAAGCAAGAATTGTTTTTTACTAGGACGTTAGTTTTAACTTGTTACCACCGCCATGAAAACACGGCGGCAGAATAGCGTCTCCGGAGTTCGTCTTACTAACATCATCAGCCGGGGCAATACACGATCGAAGACCGCGGAGAACTCATCATGGCCGATCCCAATTGATGTCATGATCGAGATATTCTCGACCCTTCCGTTGGAGTCTATAGCTACATGTCGTTACGTATCGAAGCTCTGGTACTCCATACTCCTCCGTCCAGATTTCACCGAGCTCTTCTTGAGAAGGTCTTGTTCCACAAGCCCTAAGCTATTGTTCGCATGCAGAAAAAACAGGGACGTGTTCTTCTTCACGTCACCTCAGCCTCAAAATCCAGATGAGAACTCGTCTTCTGTAGTGGTCAGTAATCATATGAAGTTCTCGTTTCATGGTTCCCATAGAAAAACTTTACCATGTCCATGTAGAGAAACAGCACCGATAGTGCTTAGCACTAGCCCAAGACCGTAATACCCGAGAAACCCGAAAGAAACAATAAACCCTCTAAGTATGAAGAGAAATATGGAAGAACACAAGAGAATACTTGAAAGACTTTTAAGAAGAACAAGAGAGAACTTAGCTTTAGAACACTCTTTATTAACTTGTTCAATTTCTTGTGCATTTACAAATGAGGGGGTGAGGAGGTATTTATAGCCTCCCAAATCTACTTACAAAGTTTCTACACTCTTCTATAACCTCCTTAGGTCCTAGATATTTCTTCTTCTTCTTCTACAACTTTCTACAAATTATCTTACAAGTTTATCCTAATCTCTAGAACTCTCTAACATAATATCTAGATTTCTTGTCTTACAAGAACTAGAAAGTTCTACATAAATATCTAGAGAGTTATCTAGTAGAATTCTCTAGAAAATTTGAGGAAGTGATGACCTCTTATGATGTTTCTAGAGAGTTCTAGAACTTGGGCCTAATTTTGGGTTTAATAATAATTTGTTTATGGACCCAAAATTAAACCTTGATCAAAATCAAGTTTAATTTCAATACTCCCCCTTAAACTTGATTTTATCAACCATCCCGAGTTTCGAGCGAAGTAACTCGAACTGACCTTTTGGTAGTGACTTGGTGAAGATATCTGCAACATTATCCTCACTTCGAACCTCCAAAGCTTCAATTGTTCCATCAAGCACCTTCTCCCGTATGAAGTGATGTTCCAACTCAATATGCTTCGTCCTTGCATGGAACACCGGATTGTTAGCCAGCTTGATAGCACTTTGGTTATCTCCATATATGGCAACCGGCTTGTTGATTGGCTCAAACAAATCTTCAAGAAGCCTTCGAAGCCAAATACACTCTTGGGCTGCGAGCGTCGAAGCTTTATACTCCGCTTCAGTGGTAGACAGCGACACCGTTGCTTGTTTCTTGCTGCACCATGAAACGCTTGTGTCTCCACACAAGAACACAAAGCCCGAAGTTGATTTTCGACCATCTAGATCTCCACCAAAGTCAGCATCCGTGAAGCCATAGAGAGAGACCTTGGCATTGTACTTGTACATTAGACCCATGCCAAGAGTTGTCTTCACATACTTCAAGATCTTCTTTGCCGCTTCTAGATGTGGCTTCCTTGGTGACTGCATAAACCGACTTACAAGACCAACCGCGAAGGAAATGTCAGGTCTTGTAATGGTTAAGTATAGAAGACTTCCCACAAGAGAACGATAAGGCCGAGGATCGGGTAGCAAGGATCCTTCATCGCGCTTCAGCTTGATGTTCGCATCCATCGGAGTAGTACGTGTCTTTCCTTCGTGTACCCCGAACTTCTCTACAATCCTTCTTGCGTAGCTATGTTGGCCGATGAATATTCCATCCTTCATCCTTTCAACCTCCAAACCAAGAAAGTTGTTCAGCTCACCCAACATCTTCATCTCAAACCTTATCGACATATCCTCTTGCAGACGAGCAATTTCCGCTTCATCATTCCCGGTAATTATCAAGTCATCCACATAAAGAAGGACTACCACGTGGACTCCTCCATTCTTCTTGAAGAACAGACTCGGATCAGAGTTCGACGGAGAGTAACCGCAAAACTGAAGAAACTGAGCAAGCTTTCCATACCAGGCCCTTGGAGCTTGTTTTAACCCATACAAAGCCTTCTTTAGCTTGCAAACATAATCGGGATGCTCTTGTGATATGTAACCAAGTGGTTGCTCCATATAGATTTCTTTATCAAGTTCTCCGTATAGAAAAGCGTTCTTCACATCTAACTGCCATAACTTCCAGCCAAAGCTTGCAGCTAAAGATAAGAGTGTACGTACCGTAGTCATCTTCGCCACTGGACTGAAAGTCTCATCATAGTCTTCTCCATACTTCTGAGAAAATCCCCGAGCAACCAATCTTGCTTTGTGTCTATCAATGTTTCCATCCCTCTTACGCTTGATCCGGTACACCCATTTGCATGAGACGGGTTGGACATCCTTGGGTTTTGGAACCAAATCCCAAGTTTCATTTTTCTTTAGAGCATCCATCTCCTCCTTCATTGCGGTCTCCCACTCTTTAACTCCTTTTGCTTCATCATAAGATGATGGTTCTTCTTCATCAAAAGGAGATGCAAAGTAGCATGAGTAAGTAGTAACAAACCTTTCATCTCTGTACCGAGCAGGTTTAACGATGTCCCGTTTTGGTCGTTGATTAGCCAAGGAACCATGATCTTCCTCCTCCTCTTCCTCTTGGTTAGTGCTCCCCCTTTCACCTTGCATCTCTGGTTCAGAAATTCCACCATCACTTGGTATCTGAGCAGCTGGTTCATCGTCTTTAAGTGAGCCCGCACCATCTTGCTCAACCAAGACTTGAGGAGATCCGTAATATGAAGACACTTCATCAAAGACAACATCACGAGATACAGTGTATCTGTGTGTCTCTGGATCCATACACCTCCACCCCTTCCTTTGTTCATCATAGCCGACAAAGATGCACTTTTTCGCCTTTGCCTCCAGCTTGGTTCTTTGAGAGTCGAACACATGGACATAGCAGATAGATCCAAATATCCTGAGATGTTTCACTGTTGGCTTCTTCCCATGAACCATCTCATAAGGAGACTTCATATTATTTGGACTAAGCGGCATCCGATTGATGACATAGGCTGCACATCTCATCCCTTCTGCCCATAGAGCCTTAGGCAAATTCTTCGCATGTAGCCAGCTTCTACACGTCTCACTTAGATGCCTTATCTTCCTTTCTGCTACTCCATTTTGTTGAGGTGTGTATGGACATGAAAATTCTCTCTTGATACCATGCTTTCGGCAGAAAGAGAGAAACTCGTTTGACATAAACTCCCCTCCATTATCCGTCCTTAAGGTCTTGATTTTCCGACCCAACTCTCCTTCCACGGTAACCTTGAATTCTTGAAACTTGGAGAATACTTCTGACTTTTCCTTCACAAAGTATACCCAGGTGTACCGTGAGTAATCATCAACGAACAACAGCATGTAGCGGAACCCGGAATAGGAGGATGTTCTCGTCGGACCCATCAAATCACTATGGATCCTCTCCAACGGAGCATTGCATCGTGAAGTAGAATTGTCAAATGGAAGTCTATGTGATTTTCCATATTGACAACCTTCACAAAGCTTTCCTTCATCTTGAATCTTCAACTTTGGGAGCCCATTAACCAGATCTTTATTCACCATAGCCTTCAGCTTAGTCATATTTATATGGCCAAGCCTAGCATGCCAAATAAAAGCATTATCATTATGGAAGAACACAAGAGAATACTTGAAAGACTTTTAAGAAGAACAAGAGAGAACTTAGCTTTAGAACACTCTTTATTAACTTGTTCAATTTCTTGTACATTTACAAATGAGGGGGTGAGGAGGTATTTATAGCCTCCCAAATCTACTTACAAAGTTTCTACACTCTTCTATAACCTCCTTAGGTCCTAGATATTTCTTCTTCTTCTTCTACAACTTTCTACAAATTATCTTACAAGTTTATCCTAATCTCTAGAACTCTCTAACATAATATCTAGATTTCTTGTCTTACAAGAACTAGAAAGTTCTACATAAATATCTAGAGAGTTATCTAGTAGAATTCTCTAGAAAATTTGAGGAAGTGATGACCTCTTATGATGTTTCTAGAGAGTTCTAGAACTTGGGCCTAATTTTGGGTTTAATAATACCTTGTTTATGGACCCAAAATTAAACCTTGATCAAAATCAAGTTTAATTTCAATAGTCCATGGGCTTGTCTCTCTTCTATGTAATCGGATCTCAAGGGGAAAAGAGGAAACATTGGCGCTGATAATTAACCCTAGCACCCGAGAATCTGTAATCTTACCCAAAGTGAAGATGATGAGAGGAGCTAGGGTGAAGTGCTTGTTAGGTTATGATCCGATTGATAAACAATTCTAGGTATTGTCCATGACAAAGGGAGATTATAGACTCGATGTGTCGTGGGACCAACATAAAGTTCTGACATTAGGAACTGGAGGAAAACCGTCATGGAGAATGATCAAGTGTTCCATACCCCATTACACTCTAATGGAACCGATTTGCATCAATGGTGTTTTGTATTACATTTCTATTAAATGGTCTACAAAGACTTGTGGAATCGTGTGCTTTGATGTTAGATCAGAGAGTTTCAGCTTTATGGAAGCCAAGGGATCTCTCAATGGAGATTTGCTTACTGGAGGAACTCTGCTAAACTACAATGGCAAGTTAGGTTGTGTGGTTCAGTGTGGACTGCATTGCGTTTGTTTAATGGAACAAGTACAAGTTTGAAGTTGTGGGTTTTAGAAGATGTGGAGAAACAGGAATGGTCTGAGCGTATATACGTATTGCCTGCTGTGTGGAAGGACGTAGTTGGAGAATATGATTTAAGCTTTGTTGGAGTGACTCGGACAAATGAGATTGCGTTCTCGTCGTTCTATCAAACAAACCCTTTTTACCTTTGCTATCTTAATCTCGAGAGGAACACTGTCGTAAGAGTTGAAATCCAAGGAATGGATACGTCTAACTGTTGGGTATGTTTCACTTCTCTAAATCATGTAGAGGATGTTAAGCTCTATGGTAAGTGTTTTTAGGTTCTTGATAACTTAAGTCTTTGTTTGGCTTTAGCTAATGTTATGTTTCTTTTTGGCTTTGTACTCTATTATCGTTTGAAGCAAGCAACTATAATTGTGAACCAACTCGCTAAGTAAAAAGTAAAAATAATATATAGTTTTGTTATGGATTAATGCTTCTGATTATTCTAATATTCGCTTAACGAATTGAATTTCAATTCTAATTAAGCTGCTTGTGGTATGTTATATACTAATACGTATACTTATATTGCAGCTGAGAGCATATGTTCTGCCTTAACGAAATGATTTAGGGCCTGACTGGTTTAACCGCTGCGGTTGCGGTTGCGGGTGCGGGAGTTTGCGGAAGCGGGCGGTTGTGATTAGTAGCGTTATTAAGCGGTTTGTACGACTGGCATAACAATTGAAAATGGATGCGTTTGCGGGTTACTTATGACTGGTTCATTTGCAGATGCAATAGCGGTTAAACAATAAATTAATAATATAAACACATTATATAATTATAAAAATATCAAAAATATATTATAATGAAAATTTTAAATTTATGGTTCAACATAATTAAAATAATTTTTTTTATAAAGAATATTATGTGTATAATACTTATGTCTATCTTTTAATTTCTATAATTTAAATAAAAATTGTAATTTTATTTTCAAAATATATATTTAATGTGAAAATTAAATTTATTTTACAATTTTATTTATTAGATATATATGTATTAGTATGAAAAGAATATTTATCAAGAGAATTTTGATTTGTAGAACTTATAAATATATAAGTATTATATGATTTTAATGAATATTGACTAAAAGTACTAATTTTTTATTTATATTGTGATTTTATTATCCAAATCTTATTTTTTAATTAATATTATTTTTATTTTCGGATTTTATATAAGTTTGTGTTTTTTTTTTTTTTTTAATTATCCACCCGCAACCGCCCGCAACCGCAAACGCTTGCGGAAAGGAGCTTTTGATTTCCAGCGATATAGAGCGGTACAGAGTGGTATAGAGCGGTTCAAAGTGGTTGTCGTGATTGTTATAAACCGCTGAGAACCGCTACGAACCGCAAACGCTGCGTTTGCGGGTGGTAGCGGGAGAACCAATCAGGCCCTTAAAAGAAATAAATTAAACGGTTCTCTACTGTTAATGACACAGGTATAAAATTACATGAAAATTTATTTTCAATGATTTTTGTTACAAAGGTGTGTGGCACAATCACTTCATTCTTTACATTCTTCCTTTCACCGTCGGTGGATATAACTGATATACATACGCCTCAAGAATCTGATTTACGTACATAATTGTCATTCTACTTGCTGAGTACGTATAGTGAAAAGGTTTACGTACGAGCCAAGCTACGAGTTCTTGACCAACTCAAGTCCAACCATGTAGAGAAGCTAGGTCAGTGTTCCTCACTATTTTAATGTTCTATCTATTAATAATAACTAGTGCTGATTGATTAGATCTCTTCGTCTTTTTGTTGTTATTATGGACAAGTGGAAGGATGGCCCAATGCAGCAAATGATAATGGATGGTATTTCCAGAATTTTGTACCACTTGCAGATCTGAATGATGCATCTAAAGGTTTGGTTGTGGACGATCCGTTCACGGTTGAAGTCGAGATCATTTCCTTCTCTAAGACTGATTCCACCTTCGAAAATTAGGATATGGTTTTACGTCCTAGAAAACTATACCTTATAAAAGAGGTCCTCTCTTTCTTTCTCAGATTTTGTTTGGTTTCCACACTCAAAATGCGACAGTTTTAGTTTGTTTATGTATGTAACCAAGATCAGAGTCATACAAAATGGATTCTAAGTTTACATATCTACTTCGTCAATCTCATGATTATAAGTTTCAAGAGTCTGTTCTGGATTCTCGAATCGTAAGAGCACGTGCAACGGAGAGATTATGATGGGTTCTTTAGCAAAATAAAATAAAATATATTTACCTATGTGGCAAGCATCAAGAAGAGGGACGTCTCTCCCAGAAGAGCTTTTAGGAATATTTCTCTGACACAAGTATGCCATGTGTCACAACCTGGTTGGATTTTGTTTATTGTTTTTTTTTGAAAAATCGTTTTTCTATTTTTTTTCTCGAAAGTAGAGCATTCAATGTTTCTTGCATCAGAACATGAAGCAAAGCAGAGGAAAGGCTTGCGGTTAAGTTACTTACAAATTGCAGATCGACTTTTGCGAAGCTGCAACATCACTGTCAGGAAAAGAATCTTCTAGCCTTAAGCTTAACCATACATACAGATCCAAAATCTGTTCAATCATGAACATATTTTAGACTAACAAAATCCAAACATTTCGAATTAATCGAACGCTTAAGATCAAATTCAACACCCCCCATTTATTGCATATAATAAAAAAAAATGAGTGAATCAAGTTTTGGGAAAATTTCAAAACTACACTTTTGTTTCGAGTAAAAGATTCTAAACCCTTAAATCTAAACCATAAACCTTAAAATTTAACTTTGAACCGTTCAATCATAAATCTAAACCCTAAACCTTAATAATTTTTTTTTATAAATTATATTGAACCATAAATTTAATATTTTCATTGTAATATAGTTTTGATGTTTTTATAATTATATAATGTATTTATATTATTAATTTATTGTTTAACCGCTATTGCATCCCCAAGTGAACCAGTCATAAGTATCCCGCAAACACATTCATTTTCAATTGTTATGTCAGTCGTACAAACCACTTAATAACAAAATATACACCATAGAAATGTATTTCTTAAAAAAATTTTAAGTTTTTTTGGTACAACTGTTAAGTAACAATGGTATTGGCTCCTCTCTCTAGGGTTTTAACTTTTGACCTCCAGTCCACCATGAAAACACGGCGGCAGAATAGCGTCTCTGGTGATAGTCTTCCCATCAACACCCCGCACAATACGGAATCGAAGACCTCAGAGAACTCCTCACCATCGTCAATCCCAGTTGATTTCCTGATCGAGATATTCTCGAAGCTTTCGGTGGAATCTATAGCGACATGTCGTTGCGTATCGAAGCTTTGGTACTCCACACTCCGCCGTCCAGATTTCACCGAGCTGATCTTGAGAAGGTCTTGTTCCACAAGCCCTAAGCTATTGTTCGCATGCAGAGAAAAGAGAGGCGTGGTCTTCTTCACGTCACCTCAGCCTCAAAGTCCGGATGAGAAGTCGTCTCCTGTAGTCGCCAGTTGCCATATGAAGTTCTACTTTAAAGTTTCCATTGACATCGATGACATCAGTTATGGTGTCCATGGCATTGTCTGTCTTTCGAGTAACCGAATCTCAAAGGGAAAAGAGGAAAGAGCGCCGGTGATATGGAACCCTAGCACCGGAGAATCGGGAATCTTACCCAAAGTGAAGACGAGGAGACCAGATACGGTGAAGTTCTTGTTTGGTTATATCAAAGTCACGGACTATATCGACGTCAGGGCGATGAGCCTTGGGGCCAACATCAACTTCTAACACTAGGAACTGGAGGAAAAATAAATTGGTCATGGAGAACGATCGAGTGTTACATGCCCAGTTACACTATACTTCAACCGATATGCATCAATGGTGTTCTGTATTATATATTCTA